GGGAAGCGTCGCGCCCCGCAGGCGCCCCCGCAGAGCCGTCAGGCTCCGCCTGGTGCCGGAGCCGAGGCTGAGCTGCCCCCTCTGCGGCTGGAGCGGGGGAGCTGCTGGGGGCAGCCCAGTGTCCAGAGGAGAAGGGAAGCAGGCGGGGGGCTGCAGAGGGGTTTCGGGTGGATACACCACCTCTTCCTCGGACTGCTGGTGTAGTTACCGCTGACCAACACCGCTCACCACCGCCCGCCCCCTAATTCTTCCATTACAGTGCTGGTCGTTTAGACTAACCCCCACCGTTGTCAATACTCCTCCCGCCGAACGACGGGCACCTTTACAGGTCAGAGTGTACCAGCTGGCAGTGCCTGCCACCGAGAGCTGCAAGTCTTGTAGCCACGTGTAGGAGACCACACACATTCAGTTACTGCTTCCAGGTGATGAGTGTCCTGTGCAACCAGCATTTGTGATTTCTTGAAAGCGTTAATTGATTACAGCAAGTTCTTGCTCTACTTGAATTACTTCTTAAACCACTCGTCATTTTGATAAAATGCTTACGCTTAACTTCTAGACATTCTCCAAAGTAGGTAGACTCAGAAATGCTGGCTATGCTGTGGGAAAGCAAAGTAAATTTAGATGGAAATGTGTATGCTGTGTAATTAGAATGACAGCTATCCCTTCACGAACTAGAAATGCTCTTAGGGGTGACTGGATTACTTTACAACAGCAGTAAATGGAGCGCTCTTTTCCAAGACCTTTCTGCCAGGAACACCTCCTATCTCTATTCAGCCCACTTCTTACTCAAATAACCACAGAAGTATATCATGCCTGGAGGAAAACTTAGTGCATGTTGGGATTTGCATCTATTTCATGGGAAAAAAAGTAGTGGAAAAGGGAGGTGAGTGAATAAGGAGTAGGTGCATTTGCCTTCAGGACAAAGTTTCTCATTTTTCTCTTTGATTATGCAATCTAAGCTCTTCTCTTTTGCATCTTTAAAAACGGTGCTTTGTCACCGATTACACTGTTTCTTCAGCAAAAATCTTCTGTTTGTGTCAGCATGGGCTGGCAGCAGGAGGGCAAGAAAGCAACTATTTACTTTTTAAGACACACACAGCCCCAAAAAGAACCCCCTTTTGCCCCAATACCCCTGACCTGTGTACCTATATTTACTTTGAAAAGCAATCCTGAATGCTCTATGGTAACTAGGGCCCTTGGGCACCAGTGCCACCTGTATGTCAGTCAGACAAAGGTATTTATTCCCTTGAAAAGAAGGGGAGAGGAGCTCACACATGCAGATGGTTTATTTTTTTACCTACCCACAACACAGCCAGTGTAACAGATTGAGAGCCATTCTTTTTTCATCCCCCGCTCCTTGGCACAGCGTGGAACTAGGGTCAGAGCTTCCCCACCCTTTCCTTTAATGAGCTGATTTGATTGGTTTGGTTTTTGATTGTAAAACACCCGCTTATTCCAGCGTCATGACCCTGATGACAATCCTGTGCCCGACTTGCATACACATAGCACATACGCAACAGAGCAAGTCTGTTCTGTATGTCAGAAAGGACTCCTGAGAAAATGTTGCCCACAGCCTTGCTCTCCCTCTTCCTGAAAGTGATGAAACGTGGACCTGCTTCATCCTCTTATCATTTGAGCATCTTACTCTCTGGTTTCTGCATGTTGCTGCATATAACACACTGAGCACTTCTTACCTTTGAATTTAATTTATGGTAAACTGAACATACACTAACGCTCTCCTCTATACAAGTAACAGAATATAGGTTCTGCTAGAAAAAAAGCACTCAGATGCAATAATCACTAATATTTAGTTAATAGCACTGCATCCACCACAACTTAACCATACCGTTCAGTACAGCAGGCTAAGTATGTGTTCTCCCACATTGCTTTTAGCTATACATCCAGCGTATTTCATTGCCCCTCAGCTCCCAGGTCGTGTGTGTCCGTCCCCTCCCTTTTGAGTCTGTTTCTTGAAGTTCCCCACACGTGAGAGATACAATTCTCAGAGATGCTGGCATTCCTGTGAGCAGGCAGGCAGCTAGCTGGGTTGGAAAGAGGTACCACAATGAGCATGTGGCTTGAGGGGAAGGTTGGCAGCACTCGACTGGTACCTGCTCTCATTAACAACATCAGTCACTACACCAGTAGTACTGGCGAACCAGCCAGAGCATGTGCCATCCCCTTCCTTGAGCTAGCATCGTGACAAGAACCTCAGGTTCATATGGGTATGAGAAGGGTGGAAATATGTAGAGAATTAGCCCTGTTAGTTTCTCCTAATTTTAACTCCTCATTCTGCCATTACTATGTGCTTTTTTTTGTAGTCTTAAATTTTGCTACACTGATGGGACAATTTTAAAAACTTTTTAGAGTCACAATCTGTTAAGTAAACAGCGCTCAAGTGACAGCAAAATGTTACAGGTTACAAGCTTTTGCTTTAGATGAAATAAATCCCCAAACTCAGTATTTTTTACTGCTTTTGATACCAGCTACTCTACAGCTGTTGCACCTAACAACCAGCTTTCCAAAAGTGTTAGCAACTAACCAGGCACTGCAACTGGTCAAAACAGCCCAGGCTAAGGCCAAGAGGCAATAGAATTGCACTACAAACAATGAAATCCTGACTCTGGGGGCAAGACTAAGTCTCCTGGACAAGTCTCCCCTCCCCTGCCATGCTCAAAGCATACCGCCCTGCCCTTTTCAGCTCAATTGTTGGCACATCAAGTTTAGCAACGGTGAGCTTGGGCTCTCTGTGAGAGTGACCCAGCATGCCAGCCGCCGTCAGGCGCACTGCAGGGGCACTCCCAGTCTGAGCTGAACTGGCAGCAGAACACATGCAGAGCAGCGCTCCTGCACTCAGGAGGGAAAATAAATGCAGCACAGCTTTCTCAAAGCATTTTAGGGTGAGAAACCTATTTTCTGACCATGGTTACACTGTATGGTGAAATACCTGTGACTTTTTACAGTGTTTCAACATTTTTAATCAAAAAAATTTAATGGCTTCTTGCCATATACAGTGCAAATATCATAGTAGCATCTCAGTACTGAAGAAAATCACTCTAACATGAGTTGATGACAAACATGATGGCACCACTTTTTTTCTTCCTCCCGTGGCCAACATGACACTTTGGTTTTGCTAGAGGGCAAAAGCCATTATGTGAAAACAAACCTTGGTATCTAATCTCACAGATGCAAGTCACTTGGCTGCACAGTCTGTCTCCAGCAGAGCTTTGCTGTGCATCATGGTGTGGATCAGCAGTATCCCCCTCCACTATGTTTCCTTCTCCTTTACACCAGGTGAGGCCAACACACAACCACCATGAAAAGGCATGTCAGAAATACAAAGGGTTAAAGACTTTCCAACAGGTATGCCTATATCAATAATAAATGTAAGGCCAAAAGTAATTAGGAGTGACATTATTATTACTTTAAATAGCACCAAGGAAATCTCATTATTGAACAAGAAATACTTCACACAGCAATACAAACAAAGAGGTTTACCCTATCCATTTTCATGTAGTACCTATAGTTTTTATACGATTGTCATTTGGATGTATGGTATTTTTTCCATTCCTGGTTTTCAAGATGAGAAATTCAGGCATCTTTGTGTATGCAGAACACTAGCAAATCACTCTGACCAACTGTTAGAAAAATCAGTTCTAGAAATAAATTCAACTGTTACCTGGCTGCTAACTTCAAACAATTTCTGAAACAATAAAGAGGTACAGAAACAGCTGGTTACATAGGAGACTGACTGGCAAGTTTCTGCAAAAACACTTTTTATACTGACACATCTCAAAAGAAAAGTTTAATTTTAGAGAGTGTAATAGCACTTGATACAGTAGGTTTTCCTGAGAGAACTCACCACAGACCATAGCCAAGATTCAATCTCCTCTGCTTTGTTATTACTCAGTAACAAGCTACAGAACAAATATTTTAGAACATTACGCCGTGTTGCTGTATATTGTGGGATGTACAAAGTTCTGTAAGATAATGATTAACCTTATTGCTTTTGAAGCAAGTCTATGTGATTCAAGGAAAAAAAAATGTTTGATGCATTAATTAAGGAACAGCAAAGAATAACACTGGTAGAGAAAGGGTTCTGTACCTTGATGCTCCTTTACTTCAGAGCCCATATGCCATAGACAGCATTCAATTAAATAATAGTCTTAGCAATAAACAATGACAATACACAGAACACTACACAACATCACTCCTTTGGCTCAAAGTACTTCCAGTTTGTTACTGAACAGTTGTTAGGCAAAATCTCCAACACATGACTGAAAACAATAACCTTCACATCCTAGAGCTGAAAAGGCTAGTAACAAATTGGCAAAGGAAATTTAGATTGCACATCCCTTACATAGTTTTATTTCTTGCGCAGTTTGAAACAACATCAGTATAACTTTGGTATTCATCTGAAGAAGGCTTAGTTGGGAGGGCAGCTGGCAGTCAATAGTTCTCCAAGGTAAGCTCTGTCTGAAAAGGCATCCATTTCCAACTTCTCCAAACAAAATAATTTGTTTGAAACAAAACCAAAGTAATTTGTTTTGAGATGTTTCATGTTGCAGCACACCCGAGATACAGTTGTGTTCTCATAGGGATGTTAGTAACAGTAGTAATAATAAAATCACACTGAGATGATGAGATACCATAGCAATGGTTGCAGGGAAAGTCAAGATTGTTCCCAAAAGGAGTGCTCTGGGAAGATTAGCTTTTAGAGAACTTTCTTTTGCCTGGCCTAGTCAGAGCCCTTCCAGAGGTTATATTTTTCCCTCCTGAAGCAGAACATTATTTAAGATAATTTTTACAGTAAGAACAACCATCCCCTGGAAGAGCCTCCCCAGGGACATGGTAGAGTCCCTGTCACTCGAGGTTTTAAAGATGCAGTTGGATAGGATGCTAGATAATCTCATCTAGGCTCCCTTTCCCAAAAAAGGCTGGACCAGTTGATCTTTCGAGGTCCTTTCCAACCTGGGCTGTTTTATGATTCTGTTTTGATTCTACGATTGATTTGAATTTGAGGATACTGAGAGACCAAAGAGAGAAATTTCTGTTCTATGAGACCACCACCATGCAAGCCTTTATTGTATGATCATTCCTGATTAAATCAGCTAGAATCAATCATTACTGGAAAGGTAAGATGCTAACTGATGCAGGTCAGTTAGCATGGGAGGGATGCTGGGCAGTGTAAAAGAAAAGAATACCAGAGAGTCACTTTAAGATGAAGAGGTTTTGTGAAGTCAGAGAGGTATCTATAATGGTTCATTACCTCCATATACAATTCTTATCAAATAGGCAGTTATCTGTTATAATAACTCAGGTTGATTCAATGCATCACAAATGCTACTATCAGTAGTATTAACGTAGAGCAGATGTACTTGCTCTGCAGCTAAGGCAAAAACCCTCTTCCTCCCCACTTAAAAGCTTAATCACCATTTACATATGTCTAAACAAAACCCTGAACTTGTAGAAACTGTATGTGCAGCACTGTAACCGTCCATGTGTGTGTGTGTGTATATATATATTTATATGTATTTTTTCAGATGTTAGCCATCTGTTATTTACCATAACAACTTGACCTAGGGCTTCTCCCTTTGCTTTCCTTCCCTGTTCTCCCCCCCCCCAGTACTCTGCCAAAAGATAACATGCCTTTACCATTAGGCACAAACACAGGGGGGAAAAAAAGTTTCAAATACATAAACAACATATTTCATAAATAAATCCTAGCTTCCTCTTGACCAGTGGGTTTGGCATGAAGGGGAAGCATTTGTGGACAGGACAGCTGAGGAGAAACTAAACTGGCTCAAGCCAGTGGTGAAGTAATCCAGGTGCTAGAAGGGCATAAAACTGCACTTCTCAGGATAGCGGGAGGCTAATGAAATTACAGGATCTCACGGTATTGTGTGAAAAGGATCTTGGGAAGACAGGCAGGACTAGGGAATGAAAAATTCTCTTTCCCACCCTGGTAAGATATTTTTCCTTTCCAATACACAACCTTGTCCCATCAAATATAGGTTCCTTCCATGCAGACATTTTACAGGCTTGCTGACATTTACAGAGAAGTAGTTCTGCTCCTCTGACATACAAAATCTGTCACCAGAAATCCCTTTCCTATACATGTCCTGTTGCAATTAAGCTTTACACAGAGCCCAGCATAGTGAGCCTCTGGACGCTGCTACGGCACCAAGAAAACCATTGGAGGTTAACTTTAATATCCAGACATTTATACTCTGGAAGAATCTGTTGTAGACATTATAAGGCATCCTCTAAGGGTCAAGTAGTCCATGTTAATACAGACTTTCAAAGCTGAAGTCACTCCTACTCATATTTTTGCTAATACATAGAACATTTTCATAAATACAATAGGCACAGACATGATTTTTACAACCATTAATCTATCTTCACTGTCAAACACAAGCAGCTACTTTATTCTCAGCAAAAATCTTTAACATGGTTCTATGGCTCAGTCTACTGCCCCAAAAGACCTTGTTCTTCAGCCACAGCTAGAAGGACAGATTTGCCTTTCAGGATTCCAGGCAGCAACATTTTTTTTTTTTTTTAGTTTATTCCATTTTGCTATCAGCTGCTTTGTCTCTGTGGGAAAGATACTATTTTCTTGACATGCAAAAGTCCAGACTGCACATCAACGTATGGAGAATGGAATGAAAGTGTAGTATCAGCAATGATGCATTTGACCCAACCCATTATTTATATCCCCAACACTCATGCAAACGTTGCCCATTATACACTAGGGCATACTGCCTCCATGTGGCAGAATATGCTTCAGACATTCTTTTTTCTTGCATTTCACACAATCTGGTGAGTGGCTATGAATTTTGGAAGTAAGTTTTGGAAACAGAAAGAGCAGTATGAGGGTGAAAAAATTAATGAATCATACTGATAACTTTTTCACACAAATACTCACCAAGAACACACAGTAAAGTACAAAGGATATATATATGTGCATATATATATAAAAAGAATGCTTTCTCAAATGTTTATTACACAATGAAAGAAGACTAATTGAAAAAAATTCACATCCTGAACTTGATCAAAGTGGACTGATTTTAGGCTGTTCAGGCCTATTAGCTAAAAGCAAGACTGAATAAGCAGTTTTGAAAAATTACATAAAACTATCACATTCTTTTTTTAAATTCATAACTGGCTTGATTCAAACTTGACTAGAAGACCATATAAGTTCCTTTAGCATTAGACAAGCAGCACTAACACTGTGTTATGGGTACAGGGTTTTTTCTCACGACTAAAATGGAAATACTTTGTGAAATTGGTATATTTTCTTCCACACCACACTTATCCCTACCCCAAAGCCCAAACCTCCACCTACTTTACCAATGTTGTTAGATACAAGATCTAAAGAAGATAAAAAAGACAATTATTGTTTTGCCCATTTTGTGTCTTTACATTTCAGTCTTTACCAGCTGACCACAAGTGCATTCCACCTCACTGTGAACAAGGTCTTCATATGTAATTTCCAGACTGGAAAGAAGTGACAAGGTATGGCTGAAAGGGTTTTGCAAATCACCAGTGCTGTAATATTTAGGATTTCCCTGCTTTGGTTAAGAAGTATTATGAAGCTCCAGTCAAATCTCAATCTTACTACACAGTGCAAGGAGGTGATAAATTTATGGTGAGAATTTTTCCTTTTTCTTTTTTCTTTTTTTTTTTTTTTTAAGACAGTGCAAGGTCTAGAGACAGTGTGAGAATCTCAAGATTAGGGTGTTGCAGGGTGCTATGCCAATTTTAGCTTTTATTTCATTGTATAAACATTTTCCTATCTCTGTTTGGTATCCAGCAAACAAACCTATTAGAAATTTTCCAAATGTCTGTGTGTTTTTGTCTCTAACTACTGTTCATTTCAAAACTTTTCGAAGTATAAATTAGTAGCTATACATCTGTTGTTGTTGTTGTTCTGTTTGAACCTGTTGCTGTCCTGACTGCTGTTGCGCTGGCTGTGCCTGAGCCTGCAAGACATCAGCCTGAGGCACTGACCTCCATGATAAAGGATGCTGTTCTGTTATCTGGTTCCCCAGAGGAGCAATGGAGTTCACCAAGGTGGTCAGGTTTATAAAATGGGCCACAGACTGAGGATTGGCTGCCTCTGGCTGCGGCTGAATCTGGATGTCATTTTGGCGATTGTGCAGCATGGCAGAACCACTGACGGTGTCAAACGTCACGGTGAGAATTGAGTTGTCCAGCTGTAACTGGCGTTCAGGTGCAGTCAGATGGCCCACAGCCACTGGCTGGAGGTTTGTGAACTGGGTTCCAGCTGCCGTCGTAATGGGGGTAACAGTGATATTTGTCAGCCCCACAGAACTGGACGGGGCTGTGACATTTGGGTCGCCAAGGGTCACCACCACCTGAGGAAAAACAGAAAGGTAACCTCAACCTTATACCTTACAGCTGACTACCAAATACCAAGCATCAAGAAACATCACCTGAGTGCTGATGGGCTCACATGTTTCTGCTGCCAGCAAGTGAAGTCATACACACAGAGGGGAACGGAGAAAGCTTGAAATAGAACTTCCACACATAGAAATAAGAAAATAATGGGAGGGAGGCATATGCAACATTCAAAACAAGCAGCCGAATTAACTTTCATGCTTCTAGTCACAGCTTCAGCCAGCTAGTGCCATCTGGCAAATAAGGAGATAGTAGTAACACCAAAGGGAATCAAAAGAAAAACAACCATGAGGAGCTTATTGGTCCAATCCCTTGCTTTTTTAGTGTCTGTGCATCTTTGTGTTACCACAATTTATCAAATTTTCCCCAAATGGTATGATCGCTCTCTTGTGTTTGGTATTAGGAAAAAAGAATTGTTATCCCTCTAAGCAATGCCTGCTACCTATCACCCTGCTTCTAGAGCTCACCTGCTGGATGCTCTGTACAGCTGAATTAGTCTCATCTCCAACACTCCCTGTGAATTCACCTTCCTTCTCTGTGTATTCACTGAAGGCAGGGTCCTCAGGCACTTGAGCTTCCTCCTCCTCACCTGACTTTTGTTTTCGTTTCTGGCCACGTTTAGGAGCTTTCATATGCTGTTTTCCTTCTGGTAATTCTCCCTGTTCCAAGGCTAATTCCGGCTGGAACAACACATTTCCAAACAAATATCAAGTCATTTTGCTTAGTGAAGTTCCGAGTTGGTTTACTGTCGATTCTCAAGTGAAGAAACAAACTTTAGCAAAAACCCGATTTCAGGAAACGTGACCTCAACTTGTAACTACATCTGCTTTACCAGCACCCATGTTATATATAACAACACAGATCAGCAGCTTGCATCTGCTTACACAAGTTAAACTGCAGCTGACACTCTAAAAAAGCACATTCCTTGGCCATCAGCCTACACCCAGCTATATGTACCAAAAAAGTGGCATCCCCATCTCAACCTCTTGTAGGCCTGGAACCTAGATGCCACCACGATTCTGCAATGGTGAATTTACCTGAACAATCCCAATTGAGGAGGCATCAATGGTAGTTGTCTCTGGCAGCTGCTCTAAATCATCAATCCTCACTGAAAGAATCTGTGGACAAAGAGGTATCAGTCAGTGAACTGCAGCAGTGCATACCACAGTCAAACAACACAGCATGGCTCTAATAAATCCTGTCACAAAGCAAAAATGATATAATCTAACATTTTTACACATATAATTTAATACAAGGAACTTAACCATGTTTTTTTTTTTTAATAACCTTATGGCATATCATCTCTTCTTTCTTGCTGAAAACCAGCAAAGTTTAAAATCAACAATAGAAGAATATGTTTATATTCATATTCTAGAGAGAACACAACCACTGGGAAGTGATGAATTCTATAGAAAACAAACAATGTGTCTGAAAAAGAAAATTATTTTAGCATTTCTGTTTATAAACCTATCAACTGTGTTCTACTCCATTATTCTCAGCTAAATCTATACATCTCAGCTTATCAACAGAGACAAATTGTCCTCTGGACTGCAGATATGTAGCTGCATTTTTAATCCAAAAATCAATAAACAAAGCTTTCTGTTGATTTCTTTCCCAGTCATGATGATAAAAAAAAATAGGGATAGTTCAAGGCAAAGCAATACTAATGATAAATTGGTAGTTAAAAAAGAAAGCCTCAAAGGGAATGGACAAGCCTTAGTCAACCTAAACAAGAAATGCTGAGGAGAAACACAATAGCTATTCAGAAATTTAGAACACAGGAAAAGCCCCACCGGGGTCAGACAAAACACCCCTCTAATCCAAATACTCTGCAGTCAGCATTCATCTTTAATACTAAGAATAATTTTGTATCATCAGCAGATGCTGCCATCACCTCTCTATTCACCACTTCTTTCAGATCACTTCTGAATACAGAGAACACAATGGGGAAAAAGAATCGATTATACTCCCTAATGGATGAAGACAAAACATGAAAAAATATACATTTAAGCTGAGGCAGAAAAAGAAAAGGGATTTAAAATAATCAGGACAACTTCATTCTTAGGGACTGACAATCAGATATGTTTACTACTGAAACATAACATAATGAAAGGGCTGATTCAGTTAAGTGCATGCTTAGCAGACACTACCCAAAATTGGCCCCAAAAGAACAGAAAAAAAGAGGGGGGAAAAAAAAAAAGAAAAAGTAATTCCTTTCCAGTCACTGAAGGCCACAAACCCCAACAAACCCCACAATCCACCTGCCAAACTAACTCACCTCTGGATGTTTACGCCTCATATGTCGACTCATGGATGCTCTGGTAGAAACCTTTGTCCCACACAGCTGGCAGCTCTGGGCTTCTACCTTATCATGAGTGAGCTGGATGTGCTTCTGTAGCATGTAATCAGTGACATACTTCTTGTCACAGACTGAACATGTCCACTGTTTTCCTACTGGTAGCAGATGGAAAGAAATGCTGTCAGCAACAGCCCCCAGAGATGAGTACCGTATTGTAAGCATCTCAAGAGGAACAATTTTAAGTTGGTAACTTGATGTGTAATACTAGTTCAAAGACTGACGAGGCTAAAGCAAGCCTAGGAACAAAATTAAGCTATTGTCTTTGGATTCTGGTTTTTAGAGGATTTACCTGTATGAATCAACTTATGAGTCTCCATTGTATTTCTCTCACTAAACGTCTTGCCGCAGAGCTCACACATGAAATCTTTGATTCCTGCATGAAGAGCATATTTTGCATCAGAGTGAAAATAGTCTAAGGTATCTGGGACAATTCTAAGTCTCATATTACTAAAAAAAAGAAAAATCACAGCCAAACAAGTAGAAGCAGCACAGCTTCACTAGCTATTTTTGTCTAAGCCACGCCACTGTATCTGGCAGAGAATTAATCCAAGAGGAACTGATGTGGGAGGTAAAACTTTGTTTTGGGAAATGAGAACCTGAAGACTAACTTAAAACAAACCCAACACTTTAGACCTCTCCTAGACCAAAATCACCTCTCTTAAAAAAACAAAACATGAAACTAAACTGTCTCTAAATTGGAGAGAAATGGATTTGATGAACGGATCATTCGGTGGATAAGGAATTCGCTGAACGGTCGCACTTAAAGAGTTGTAGTCAATGACTCAATGTCCAAGTGGAGAGCTGTGAACAGAGGCATTCCTCAGGGCTTGGTGTTGGGACTGGTGCTGTTTAACATCTTTGTCAGAGACATGGACAGTGGGACTGAGTGCACCCTCAGCAGTTTGCCAGTGACACCAAGCTGTGTGGTGCGGTCGACACGCTGGAGGGAAGGGATGGGCCATCCAGAGGGACCTGGACAGGCTGGAGAGGTGGGCCTGTGTGAACCTCATGAAGTTCAACAAGGACAAGGGCAAGGTCCTGCACATGGGTCAGGGCAATCCCAATCCCAAATACAGGCTGGGTGATGAGTGGATTGAGAGCAGCCCTGTGGAGAAGGACTTGGGGGTGTTGGTGGATGGAAAACTGACTATGAGCCAGCAATGTGCACTCACAGCCCAGAAAGCCAACTGTACCCTGGGCTGCATCAAGAGCAGTGTGGCCAGCAGGTCGAGGGAGGGGATTCTGCCCCTCTACTCTGCTCTTGTGAGACCCCACCTGCAGTGCTGTGTCCAGCTCTGGGGCCCCCAGCATAAGGACGTGGACCTGAGGAGGCCATGAAGATGATCAGGGGCTGAAGCACCTCCATTATGAGGACAGGCTGAGAGTTGGGGTTGTTCAGCTTGGAGAAGAGAAGGCTCTGGGGAGACCTGACAGTGGCCTTCCAGTACTTAAAGGGGGCCTGCAGAAAAGATGGGGAGGGACTCTATCATGGAGTGTAATGACAGGATGAAGGGCAATGGTTTTAAACTGTCAGAGGGTAGGTTTAGATTAGAAAGAAATTCTTTACTGTGAGAGTGGTGAGACATGGGAACAGGTTGTCCAGAGAAGCTGTGGCTGCCCCCTCCCTGGCAGTGTTCAAGGCCAGGTTGGACGGGGCTTTGAGCAACCTGGTCTGGTGGAAGGTGTCCCTGCCCATGGCACGAGGGTTGGAACCAGATGATTTTCAAGGTCCCTTCCAACCCAAACCATTCTATGATTCTATGATACCAACCAATCTATGCATCTTAATTGTGTAACAGGTGATCTCGGCTAATAAGAGGACAAAAATCTCACTTTTGAAAAATCAGAATACACATGTTTTTACATGTGTTCCTCATACTCCCTGACTGTTCTAGATAAAAATTCTCCCATGAAGCATTGAAATGATTCAGTGCAATTTTTTGTTACATCTTTGGAGACCTTACCTGTGTGTCTTTTGTAATGCTTCAGCATGTTGACTTTCTGTGCAAATTTTCGATGACATTCTTTGCATTCATATTCTTTAATCCCCTTGTGAAGTTTCATGTGGTGACGAAGTGCATGTTTTGTCTTCATTCCTGTGAGACAAAAAGTACAGCAGGACAATTAGTCCATTGCTCCCACCTTCAGAGGAGAACTCAGGATGATCATGTTGTTAGCCAAGAGGTCTAAGATTGTATCTGCTGCACATCCATAATTTCATATTTTTAACTGTTTAGGTAGCAGTGCACATTATCATTATTATTTTAATTCCAGGCAAAAACTCTGGAAAACACATGAGTAACCACTGAGGAAGAAGCAAAACAGCAGAGACAAGCAAAGACAAAACACCATTAGAGATGTCAGACTTACTGCCTTCCACTAAAATACCAGTTCAGATTTGTTCAAGTTATAATGCAAACAATTCAAAAAGCAACTTTGACTCTTAAGGCTCTTGCAGAGAGAAATTACTCTATTTCTTGAGCCTGAAAACAGCCTAGAATGAAAAAAATAACTTGTATTCACTTTTGTGCTGCAATTACATTGGAACTCAGTCAGGCAAGCACTCCTCAATTTGACAAAAGCAAATTTTTTAAAAATCTTTTTTTGAATCAGTTTTTTCTTACAGGCCATGAAACTAGATTGTATAAAATCGGGGGTATTTTATGTATCCAAAAGGCTCCTGATTACTACAGCTTCTACCTCTCAAGAATGCAGAATTTACAGCACTCCAAGGACCTTCCCAGTAGTCTAAGAATTGAAGTAGCTTTAATTCAGATATTCACCTGCTATTCAGTATCACAATTAACGGAAAACAAGGCATTAGACATACCTACGGAAAACAAGGCATTAGACATACCTTTGCCACATTCTGCACACAAGTATTCTCGGATATTATCATGGACTCGCATATGTTCTTTTAACATGTCTTTTCTAGCAAATGATTTGCCACATTGCTCACAAGCATGACTTTTTACACCTTAAAAATAAATTTAAAAGACAACATAAACAAAAAAATGTTAATGAAAAATGTGCATCTCCTAAAAACTGACTAATCTGGTGACTTAGAGGGCAACAGTCCACCTGTGTTGTCAACTTTCATGAATATTGTGGACCAAACTAAATTATAAGACTTTGGAGAGTGAGAAAAGCTGGCTTTTTGTGCGAGATCTGAAAAAAAAAAAAAAAAAAAAAAAAAAAAAAAAAAAAAAAGATAAAGCCTGAGGTAGGAAAATACTGAATAGCATGAAATAATAATGAGCTGTTAAAATGATTTTTGCAATAGCGGTTTTCAGCCTGTGTAATGGTGAAAAGGTGGCATGGATAAGAATCTGGGGAAGAACAGAATACACAATTAGGATTTTTAGCAGGTGAATCCTGCATCATATTAACTAGGAATCTGGATTGTGTGCCTAGACCAAATATATTCATTAATATTATCTGCTTCAGATAACTGGTCTACCCTAAAAGCATAACATTTAGCTTTTTGTAACTTACAGTAAAAACTCATAACTTGTTTCCTCCTGAAAAAAAAATAAGGCAGGCACTGGCAACAGAAATTTCTTTTTTAATATTGATAATAATAAAGAAACACAGCATTTTTACCTGTATGTATAAGCTTATGTCTTTCCAGATTTCCTATACTGTTAAAAATCCTTCCACATATTTCACATGGATGGATATATCTGAAACCAAAGAGATCAAAACCTGTCATTCTTTTCTTGAGACAGAGGTGTGTTTCAGGCATCTCTGTCAGTAACTGTATTTCATTTGGTAGTACTAACTGCTACAAAAAGTTCCTTGAAACATAAATGCATTTTTTAAATGAGCCCTAAGAAATCCCCAAGTTCACCGCAAGTTTGGAAGAGTCTGGCATTGCTCAAATCATAGTTTTTACAAAATATTTACCAAAATCTTTATACTTTACAAAGCCCAAACTGGGAAGCTGTTGACTAATCATCTGTGTGAAGTGAATCATTAGTAATATATGTATTTCAAGCTTTTAATAAACATTTTAATACTCATTACACAGTTTCAGATATTTTAGTACAGCCCAATTCTCTAAAAGCATCAGGTGGCAAAGCCACTGTAACTTCACAAAATAGTTCCTTTTATCAGTCCAACATCTTACTTCTGCACATTAGGATCAGGCAGGTTCTCCCGATGAATGACCATGTGTGCATGGTAAGTTGCCTTCAAGGCAAAACGTCGATTACAAATGCTACAGCCATAGCCCTTCTCCTTGTGCACATCCATTATGTGCTTCAGGTACTCCTTCCCTCTGCCGAAAGTCAACTGTGGAATGAACCAATAGTGAATGAAAGGGGAAAAAAGTCTTCGGGAACAGCAACAATCTAGTAACACATTATCAGGATCTAGAGTCAGAGTTGGTAGACATAAATATCCTGTGTATCACTACATGAAAAATCAGTGAAAGCTAGATTTAGGCCTGAACCTCTTTGGCCATTACAAGCACATTGCTACAGGACATCAGTTAACTCGTTTGGAAAAGTAGCTTGAGATGGTATCTCTGCTTCTTACACTGCACAACTAGAGGACCTCCAATTATCTGTGCACTGAGGAACAACCTTGAAGAGAACTATGTCTAACTCCACTAGCTGTCAAAGCAAAGACACCACAGATAGAGAAAATGTCTTTTGGGCTCTGGGAGCATGGTAAGCCCTAGTCTGTATATACCAGGCTTTGGCACTAGTTGCAGAAGAGTTGGTATTTCTAAGCATTGCAGGGTGATTCTAGCTCAGTTCTTGGAGGTGCTACAACTACAACAGACAGGTGTTCCACTACTTAGATCCCTGGGCTAAGTAACCCTGCATATGCATATATGCTCCAACATACTGGGGCAAAGTGCCAATGACATGATTTTTTGCTCCCATTATGGAACTAGTCAGGGTATTTCTGACAACACTGCACAGCTTGGTCAAGGTGCACTCTGGGCTGAGAAAAAAAATACAGATTCTTAAGAGCTCAGAAGAGATTTCACTAAGACTCATTTGTATGTTGTTCTCCCTTAGGAATGCTTGAACAGATATTTTCAGCCAAAAAGAGCCTCCCCATTTCATCACAGGTGACACCCATTTTCCATAGCTGTTGCCTTACACAACTGTTTACTTTACAAACACCTGCAAAAGTGCTAAAAATCCCAGCTTCCAAAAAGAGCTCTGTAATTTGAATGGCAGAATTGCCCTCTTCTGGAAGCATACAATTTTATACAGTTTATATACCCATTAAGTATCAGGCGTTAAAATTACCACATTAAAAGCAAACACGTGATTAACTGCTGTGATACCACATCTTCTTATGCTTACTGACATAAGTTTAAAATCAGCTTGCACTTAAAACCAGTTTGCAGATAAGGACAGAAAACTAGAGTACTATTGTCTTCATGTCTCCAAAATGAACATAAGGTATGCACTTTCACCCCATTAAGTGTAGACTGTGAAATAAGCTTTGATTTCCAGGGGCCAGGTCAGTGGGTTAACTACCAAAATTCCCCTGTTCCTATGTCAGTTTGGCTGTTCTCACTGATTGCTTTTGCATTCCACCTGTCCCAGCACATTGTGCTTGGCCAGCAAGGGCACAGAATCCAGATGAATCCTAAAGGACCCCATATTCTTTCCAACCGCTTCTTTACAAAATGGCAAAAACTATGCAGTTAAGAGGCTTTAAAAGGTCTTTCTCAGCTGATAACTGGGTAAAGTATGTTCCAGCAGTACTACTTATGCCATTCTGTCAGTAACAGAGTAGGCCAAGAATAAACAGTCACACTGACCATAAGCAGCAGTCTTAATTCTCTAAACTGGTATCTACTAGACTAGCATCTGATCTCATGAAATTTAATCAATTCATGGACTGTATAATTCAGAAATGCTACAACGATTTTAATTCGCACATAATTAAAAGGTAGTGTAAGATTTGAATGTTCCCTTATTGTTTCTTCCTCCAATTTCACTTGCTTGGTTCCTTGCAGGCAGGTAAGCTTATGCATGTCTATTTCCATTTTTAAACATTCAGCATTCACCCTACAGAACACCACATGAAGTCTTATGGAATAGCATCACTTCATAGGTTGGAGGTACCAAGCACTGCAGAAGAGAGCAGACCTGTGGACTGGCCTTCTCTTTGTGAATCCTTAATAATTATTTAAAATTTTGAATGATTTACAGACATCTCCACTCCCTCCTCCCATCCCAAAACAAGTTAATTTGAAAGTATTTAAAGCTACCTGGCACCTTTTGCAGCTATACTTGTGAGGCTCAGAATCTGCACTTTCATCAGAGTTGTCATCGTTTTCCTCTGATGAGATTCCAATTTTACCAATGAACTCTTCTCTCTGGTGATCATCCATTAGTGCTATGTCCTGTATGGGGCGGGAAAAATATTCTGTTTCAATAGATTAAACGTTTGTTTCAAAAGGTAACACCTAGTCAGCTTTTGTTGCCATGCAGACTGCCTTGCATTAACCATCGCTGTTACATTATTTATTTAAAATATCCTCCTGCTTCATTCATTTCAGGTAAACAAAGTTCCTTTGTCCATGACTAAACAAGGAACAATTGTTTATTGAAACAAGTAATACAATTTTTTTGTGTGTATAAAAGGAACTTAAATGTAAACAGAGACTCAACTGGCACAGTATCATACCCATAAAAGCATCTTTATGAGCACCACTGAGTGACTCAAATCCCTTCCAATTCAGTGTTAACCTAGTTACATCAAAATAATCTGGGTCTGATTAAGCACTATTAATAGGGCTTTTTTGTGATCTGGAACAGTTTGATAAAATCAGGTAAGGAACTCGATATACTGGCAGTTATGCTGGCACATACGAGAGAATCACAAGCACTGGCATGAAAAAGGCAGGAACAAATAGTTCTCGTTTGTTTTTTCCCCACAAAGAGAGGGAATGACAATAACCCCCTCAGCCCAACTGAACTGCAACTGGAACAATACAGCTGTCTGCAACTTTCCTGTTAAGTCATTCTCCCTGCCTTAAACTGAGCAATCTCCGCGATTTACTCAAGGTCACAGAGGTGTTTTTTCTACAGCATTCGGAACAGTGTTCTGCCGTGATAGCTGACTTAACTCTCAGTATGATAGTCCATATACTTTGTAGCAATCCAGATGTAGAAAGAGAGCCATGGGTAAATGAGAGCACAACTCATGCTAGGCTGCTGTAGAAACATCACTGCACAGCGTACATAATCACTGTGGTGTTACCAGTATGAACACATGGCCATAACAGTCTCAATATATTTATTGATATGTTTATGTCTGCTAAGTAACATGACTCTTCTAATAAATTATTAACACAATACCTTAAAATGGACATGAATATGATCTCTCAACACATCCACCCTGAAAAATTTGCGTCCACAGATTTCACAAGTGTATTTCTTGTCTCCGTGTGTTAAAAGATGTTTATTCATATTACTCCTACATGAAAATACCTAAAAGAAAAGAAGGAAGGAAGGGTTTCTGTATCATGTCCAGCAGGCTACAGTTCTTTGCAAGTTTCCAGTGGATAGCAAAGAACATATTTACTGTCCTGTTTTATTCATTCTGGCCAGAAATACGTAGGAGGTCCTGTTACTTAGCTAGCAGGCTACCTCAGACACTTCTGGCACAGCAAAATGCAGGTGTACAGTTCCAAGGAATTCACTGAAATTGGCCGTTCATCAGAAGTGGACTTTGAAAAAAGCTGCAGCAGAACTACATATGGCAGATTTAGAAACGTTTAGACAGTGTCTTTTGAATCATGGATGTTCCACCTATCTATAAAAAGACACATCCACAAAATCTACTTTCACTAATATATAACATACACAAAGCATCAAAAACAAAAGTCTACATGCCAACTTAAGAGTTGCTTGAGTATATCTTTCACCATGAATCATTAAACATTTACACAATCATGAGTTAAACCCCCGGTCTTTGTATCTGTGATAACAGCAACTTAAGATCATGAGCATTAAAACACCCAAATGCAAGTGACATGACTACACCATGAATTTACTTCGATTTCCAACAGAAAATGTTTCCCATGCACACAATCAACCCCAGCTGTTCACATTCTGACAGAAAAACTTCACTGTAAATAACATAAACCATGAGATTTCACTGACAGACATAGTGGTCATGTCACACTCTACATTGTGCTACATGTCCTCAAAAAAGGTCCAGTCTGAACTTCAGTTTTGTTCTTATCTGTGTCCTAACAGCTTCCACCATCAGCAAGCACAGCAGGCTTGGATACATAATGGAGCTAAGGCAGTTTAGAGAGTAATGTCTTGGCTGGGTGACAGGGCTCGTTGGCACCTAACCAAGTGCCTGTCCAAGTTGCAAGGTAATCTGACTTGGCATGTGTCTCAGTGTGAGTCATCTACTTTAACCTTTTGGCAGGCTGTGTGTCTATTTGGATAGGCTGCTACTGTGGTTTAATACATGGGTGGTAACTTGTTACACCACAGTATCTCATTTGGAGGTGCTGGGCTGAGGCACACCATACCCCTGGAGTATCTTTGGAGCTACAATGCAGAGCTTCACACAGCACATGCTGGCAAAGACGCCTACCTTCCCACACACGGGGCATCCTGAAGGCTCTTTCTTGTAGCGAACCATGTTTTCCGTGCTGTGCTCAAACTCTTCTCTTTTCACACGCCTCACTCCTTAACAGAACAGTCCCCATCAAAAAAACAAAACAAAAAAAATAAACCATGGTTTTCCACTCCAATCTGCATGCCCTTTGAGGTGAATACTGTAAAGAAGAGTGAAACACTGGGAAGAGCCTCAACACAGAATTTAATTTACAACAGAAGGATAATTTCTAAAATAAAACAATGTCTTAAGAATATAAAAGCAGTCTGCCAAAAAGATGCGTTATGGCTTATTGGTTACTACACCAACTGTAAAGTGTCTGAAAACAGACATTTATTGTCAACACCTGGAAACAGGCAGATCTAGTAGGCCTTGGCACTTTGACCTGGCCCAGAAACTCCTTCTTGCAGTCTCTAAGACTTTGAGTACCTGTAACATCCTTAGATGTTTGAGATTTTGAACAGTAAACTCTTGTAATCTCATTTTCATATATTCTCAAGATTTTGAAAGATAACATCAAACAGTGATTAATTTATACTACATTTATACAGTAGTCACTTTCAATTGTACATTGCAAGTTAATTCTCTGCCTTTGAATTTTCAAATTACCACACTTTTTTTAAAAAAAGAATAGAATTCAAAGAAAGCAAAACATGTAATTAAAATTAGCTAGTCTAAACTACTGCATAATAAGCCAAACAACTTTCATGTGACTGTTAGTAGCACTGGATCCAATCATTGAGGCTGAAAAAAAGGTAGGTGCATCTCCTAGAAAGTTTTCCATAGAATTAGACAACTCCCCTCCAGGATCCATTACTATTATTTTCAATAAATGTCACATTTTGCAGAAACTTGTTACTCCAGATCAAGTAACTGACAAAAAAAGCCCCCAGCTACCATCCAGAAGAATCTAACACGCAATCACTTCCTTAACCTTCCCACCTCCACTCCCATTCCAAGAGTAATAATTAGGTTGATCTGCAGTATACTTACCTTCCAAGTGTCGTCTTTGATGGTCTAGCATGACATCCTTCCGGTAGAACATCTTATTGCAGATTTCACATGCAAACTTCTTATCCCCATGCTTTTTTTTGTGTTTTGAAAGATTACTGTTAGTAGAAAAGAATCTGAAACACATCTCACACTGGAATGTCTTGTCATCTGTAAGCAAGAGAAACCATGCAGCTCTTTACAGATGAAAACAGGCTTTGTACATTTGTGAGATACGTAGTTCTTTTGTTAGATCTGAGTTTTGACATACAATCCATCACTATATGAATTGAGAAGGGAAATGTAATGTGGTTTTATTTTTAAAAAGTTTTTCAAAGAAAATAATATATACAATGCTAACTTGAACATGGAATCTAGCATTGTAACTTCCTCACATGGTCTATTTTCATTTTAGTATAGTATATATTAAAATTATGTTTGGGGTGGATTATTTTCAGTTGATTCAAGTTTTTAATGTTAATAAAAATCACTACACATACAGCAATACAGCATCACACAAACAGCGGTGTCTAAACACAAGAATACTTCTGCAAGCACTGGCTCCTAATACCAGCCAGTACAGAACACTCCAGAAGAAAGTATAAAACCTCAAAAATATACCATTGCATGACAATAGGCCTACGGGAATTTGTTTTGTATTCAGGAGTTGAGACCTCGGAACGTGAAAGTATGGTCCTGTAGATGGAATCTGCCAGTGCTGCAGCAATCACAGAGAAGTAACAGCTTGATGCCTTGAAGAGTAGAGCAGAAACTACTGCTCATTTTGGTAAACTCAGAGAGAAAATGAGCTGTTGTCCTTGAATAAACAGAATACTGAAGTTACTTGCCATTACTTTCTGGTTTTTGTAAAGCTGAATTTCTATACAAGCTGTACCCTCTGAAAGCAAATGAGAAAAACAACTTTTTATAGTGCTGTGAGGGGCAATTACCCAGGTGATTCTGGACTGATATTTATCATGGGTCCATAACAGTATGTCATTTTCTAAGCATAAGATCACACAGCATAACTAATATGAGTAACCACAAGGTGGCTTTCAGAGAAAAGGACAGGTTCTTGTAATATTAAGAAAAAAACCTACCCCAAGTATAAAGAAAGCATGAGAAAAAAGAATAAAACTGTAATCCCAGAAAACTACAAACTATCAATAATAGTACTGGCCCCTTTTCCAGTTCCTCCCATTTCAGAGAAACGAGGTGAAACTTAGTTTCAGGAAAGAAAATTAAACCAAGATAGTTGACAGTGTATCTGTGAACGTACAAATTAAACACCAGTGAGGATATTAGGTGAGCAGAAGATACATGAGATACAATTAGAAAGGCAAAAGCTCAGCTTGAATTCAAAACAGCCAGAGACAGCAAAAACTACAAGAAAGGGCTCTTCAGGTATGTAAACAACAATCAGAAACAGAAGGAAAATACTGGCCTACTGTTAAACAGGAAAGGTGAATTAGTGACCAGCAATGCTGAAAAGGCAGAGGTGCTCAACACTTCCTCCACCTCTGTCTTTATGAGCACTGCTGGGTCCCAGGTCTTAGGAACAAAAATCCAGGTTGATGCAAGCACAGACCCACTGTCAGTGAAGGAAGAGTTGGTGTGCAAACTTTTACAGGAGCTTGACCCCTACATATTGTTGGGCTCTGACATTATCCACCCAAGGGTGTTAAGAGAGCTGGCTGTTGTCATTGTGAGGCTGCTCTCCATAATCTTTGAGAAGTTGTGCAGATTGGGGGACATCCACAATAGTGGAAGAAGGCTAATGTCACCCCCATCTACAAGAAAGGCTTAAAGGAGTATCTAAGAAATTATAGTTTAGGCTCATCAGACTTACTTCAGTCCCTGGGAAAGCTATGGAATGAATCCTCCTGGTGTCTATCACAATTCAGATGAAGCACATGACTGGGAAAAGCCAACACAGATTCACCAAGGTCAAATTGTGCCTGGCAAACCTGATAGCCTTCTATGACACAGTAACCTGCTCAGTTCATGTGGAGCGAGCGGATTTTTCCAAGGCTTTTGATGCGGATCCCCACAGCCTCCTCCTACAGAAACTGATGTGTAACAGGCTAGATAAGTGGTCTGTGTGGTGGGTGGGGAGCTGGCTGACAGGCTGCACCCAGAGGGTGGTGGTAAAGAGCTCCTTTTCAAACTGGCAACCTGTCACAAGTGGGGTCCACCACAGATAGATATTGGGCCCAACGCTGTTTAATATCTTCCTAAGTGATCTGGATGATGGGATCAAGTATTCCCTGATGAAGTTTGCTGATGATACCAAACTGAGTGGGGAAGTGGATACCTTGAAAGGGAGAGCCACCCTGCAGGAAGACCTGGATAGGCTAGAAGAGTGGGCTAACAAGAACCTTATGAAGTGCAGCAAGGACAAGTGTAAGGGCTTGCACCTGGGAAAACATAATCCAGGAGTGCAGCACAGACTGGGGTCTGCCTGGCTGGGGAGCAGCTCTGTGGAAAGGGCCCTGCGGGTCCTGGTGGACAACAAGCTCAATAGGAGTGAACAGAGTGCTGTGGCAGCAAAGAAAGCCCAGGGAATGATGCACTGCATCAACAAGGGCATCACCAGCAGAGATAAAGAAGTCATTATCCCACTCTACTCAGCGCTTGTCAGGACACACCTGGAATACTGTGTTCAGTTTTGGTCTCTGCTATACAGAAGTGGACAGGCTGGAGAGGGTCCAGGGAAGGGCCACAAAGACACTGGGAAGCCTGACATGTGAAGAAAGGCTGAGAGAACTAGGTTTGTTCAGCCTTGAGGAGGATTAGGGGAGACATTATTACCATGTTCCAGTATTTAAAGGGTGGCTATAAAGAAGATGGAGACTCCCTTTTTACAAGGAGTCACATGGAAAAGATGAGGGGTAACGGGTACAAGTTACTCCTGGGGAGATTCCAATTGGACACAAGAGGAAAATTTTTCACAGTGATATTAGAATAATCTTCCCAGGGAAGTGGTGGACTCCCCAGCATTGGACACTTTTAAGCTTCAGCTGGACAGGGTGCTGGGCCATCTTGTCTAGACTGTTTTTTGCCAAGAAATGTTGGACCAGACAATCCCTGAGGTCCCTTCCAACCTGGTATTCTATGATTCTATGATGATAAGTGGATGTGTTGCTCTGTAGATTACTGATTACACTTTTCTTATCACAAGAAGAGTTTTTTTGGAGGGAAGCGGGGCAGGTTGATTGTTGTGATTATGACCAAAATGTAGTTTCTATGCTGAGATGGATTTGTGGGCATGCCAGATGCAGCAGAACAGTCAGCTATTCTCACCTGTCCTGCAGTTATGGAATTCCAATGCACTCTCTATCCGAAAGGCCTTTTCACAGGTGGTGCATTTGTATCGGTACTCACTGTCAACCTGAGGATTGCAAACAGGAAGAGTTTAAGTGGGGAAAACGTCAAGTCATGTCTGACAGATTTTCTAATTCCCAACTACTTTTTCTGTTTTCTGTCTTTTACAATTTTTCTTCCTTCAACAGAACATTTTTATACACACTGATGCAAAATTCTGACACTGTATCATTCTGCCATGCTCCTATATCTGAGCCCTACACAATAAACCCCAAAAAGTAAACCATGCACCTGTGTGCATGTAACAGTCTTCCTGATAACCTCCGGCCCAACACAGACAGAATTTTTGAGAAAGTAAGACATAATCTGACTCATCCTCCAACTCCAGAACAGATGCGAGCAATCTGAGATCTTAGGACCTTTATGCCAAGCAGCAATGGAAATATTCACTGATAAGGCCCAACTACAGGCATGCTCAATATATGTATGTCAGCAGCACAGAAAGACCCTCACCAACAGTCATGGTGCTGCTTCTGTAAGCACTGCAGGTTTACACATGTGCGCATAGCCCTTAATGACACAGCCTTTACCCACAGCACAGAGGTCATGCATTAAATGACACTATAGGTGGGAATAAAAGACACAGGACAAGCAAACAAGACTGGAACAATCTTATTTAGTACCATAAACTGAAATCAGATTTCATCTCTACATCATGCAGGTCCAGCTAACTGTCTTGCTGTAACTGATGCCTGAAAACAAATTTCTATAAGAAATTTAGACAGGAAAAAGGACTTTTATGCTCAAAAGCACTGTCCGCTCTTTGCAAATTCATCAACTGTTCTAACAGAAGGTATTATCTCTCCCTGTCAGTTTTGTTTCACTTACTCACACGCATATCCTCTCAGATGTAACTGACCCAAGCTCCCCAGCTAGCACCTGGAAGCTCACTGTACCTTTTCACCTAACCTCAGAAACAGCCCGCTAGTCATTTCCACTCACTTCGTTCCTGCTGTGCTTGTATGAAACATGCTGCTTCAAGCTCTCTTTACGGCTGAACAGCTTTGCGCATTCCTCACATTTAAATAGTTTGTCACCTGAGGGGATCAATCAAGATAAAATAAAAATAAGAAAGCAGTCAGCGACTGATAATAATCAACTCCAGGCAAGACAGGGGAAACCAAAGCACAAGCAACTGCAAACAAACAGGCTAGTGATGAAAAGCCTTAGTAAATCAGGAGATCCAAATAGTGGATCTTAACCTTTTCCAACAATTTTGACAACAATTTTGTTTGGTTCTTCCACCCTTTTTCAGTGATTATTTATTACAGAATCCTTAGCTCATGGACCACTGGAACTGCAGATCACAAGCTAAAAAGTACTCAACTGACATTTACACAGTTACAATGTTACCCATGTGCCTGTGAAGGTGGGGGCTGATATCTATGTACATATTTAAATGGAAGAACAATTTTGGAAAAACCATCACATCATCAACGTTTAAAATATGTACCTAAATTCAAATTTTAAACACTCTAATTTCAACTTTCAACTATTATCTTCTCATGCTTTGGTCTGCAAAACTAAGAGTTCCCTAGAGAAAGGTTAAGAAAAAAAAAAAAATTCTATTAAAATTGTGTATCCCAATATCTAAGAATAGCCTCGCTCTTCTACTCAAAGGTGGAACCACTGAGAGACAAAATCAACACACAAGTGAGACAAAATCAAACCCACCGTGGGAACGGATGTGCCTGCTGAGGTTGCTGCTGTTCTGGAATATCTTACTGCAGATACTGCATTGATAGACTCGCTTGTGCTCCCCAAGTTGTTTTATCAGCTTCCGCCGTATACCATGTCTACTGGAGAGAATTAAACTTCTTTTGAGGGACATGGTGTTTTGGTGATGAGCAAACCTACTGGATTAGAGAAAGAAAGGCAGGGACTGAAAGGTATCCCACAGGTTGCAAGAAAGAGTCCCATCAGCTGGCAAAAGCTAGAGGAGTGTTATGCTCAGCTTCTGGCAGGACAGGGGGGCTGGGAGCTTCCTCACTGCCAAGGCACCCTCCTGGCCACACCCTGGAAGCAGCAGTCAGAGCGTGGCTCACTTCAAATTATCTTCAGCCAGCACAAACGAGAAAAAAAGCAGCAGCCACCAGCCTCAGAGATTCTTACTGCAGGCCCCTCAGAGGAACATAAAGGATCTGTTCTGCTTATCCTCTGAAAACACTAGCACTACTTCAGCTTAGAAAGCTTGGCAGTTTGCATGCAGAAGGTGTGTATGAGAAGAGGGCAGCGGGGTGCCAAGAAGCAGTACTGTTGTATTTCCCAGCACAGCCACCCGCTGGAATGCATTTTTGATGGCTACGGACTTCAACATACAGCATTACTAGCTAATTTTGAAAAGTCAAGTGCTTTATTTTAGAAAAAATAATTTTAAAAGCCAGTTTTACCAAGACAAAAAGACATAAAAGAATCTAAATTAATCAAGTAACATTTAGAGTCTCCCTGAGGTTCTGCTATACTGAAGTTTACCCCTCTCACTGCTCTACATCTGAAGTATCACACACAAATCAACATAAAGTCATTCATGAGTTAAGATGACAAGCAAGACAATAACGATGGTAAGCATATTTTTTTTTTCACAAAAATCTCTTTGCCTGTTTTATGACCAACATTCAACTGAATATTTCACCTTGCAGCTGCAGGAGGCTTTTGGAATCACACTGAATAAAAGCAGTAACATGATGGAAGATTAAATTCTCATGGGTTATGCTCCAAAATTCTACCACCAGTATCTCACCATCTGTGCACCATCCTTCAGTGTACAAGCCATCTTTGTGGCACCCAAAGTCAGCTCTCGTAGCAGCAGCAGCATCACACAATTTTACACTAATAAAAAACAGTATCTGTGGGCTCAGAAATTGAGCAGAACTGTTACATGCTACGTACTCTTAATTAAGCCTAAGAGGAAATTCTGCATCCCAGAACACTTACTTTGTCACTGAACTGATGCTATTTGTGGTGCTAGGCATCTTTCCTAAAACCAATTCCATAATCCTCTCTTCTGCAGCTGAAGGCAGGGCTACCTCTTCTGGTGGGACCTCAGTTACAACATCAGCTACACGTTCCACTGCAAACACATCATAAAAATACAGTGTTAGATAGCTAGAAATAAAACCTCAAATGCAGAATTTGTGATGAGATGTGGCACTGAACACATTATTTGTTCACATGCATGTTATTTGTCAATGACAAATTATGGATTGCTAGTGAGTAGGTAGCACTTGCAGAGAGTGTGGGCACTGAAGAAAAAATAAGATGTAGCTAACGTCTCTTATGAAGGCCTAATTTCTTACCTTTTCATCCTATCACAAAGGAGTCAGTTGACTATACATCATGAAATTTCCTACTAGAACTTATCTTAAAAAAACTCAAGGCCCTGAAAAAAAGTCCCTTTCAAGAATAAACCTTAAGGCACCGAGAGGAAAGTATCTCCTCTTGAGAGGGAGGATGCTTTGTCTCCTGTTCCTTCTTGCAAAAAGCTAAGCAGGTGTGTTTCTTTGGGCCCCTCTATTACTAAAACCGTCACAGAAAAATGCAGGTAATCTAAGTGTAGGTGCTGCAACATTTAGCATATACAAGGCCCTCAGAGATTATTAACAAAGTCTGCTTCAGTGATATAACTAAAAACATCCATCTTGTCTCTGTGCTATGTTTTAGGCCTTTCTGAGAAGGTATCAATACAGACGTATGAGGCAAGAGATGCTGGCATTTTCTTAAGTTTTGTTTCACCTGCAGAATCTTTCTCTTCGATAACAACAAGAGGCGTTTCTGCTTTTGCTGTTCTGGGCTTTCTTCCCCGCCTGGCCTTCCTCCTTGAGTCTGTACTGGCACTGGCTGCATCACAAATCACTGGCTGATCCACAGTGGGAGCCTCTGCTGCTTTCTCTGCAACAGCCTCATTTTGGCTGGTTTGGGGGGCACCTTTAGCTTGTTCCAGGTGACTCAGCAAGTGCTCTGTGTGGATAGGAAAGAACAAGAGAGTAAGGAGGAAAGAACCTGTCATGAAATACTCAATCCAGCTGAAGCCTATCCATCAGGTCAACCTCACTTAGCAGAGACTCCCAATTATTTCAAAAGCAGTCACGATATCTTACTAAATAGCATACAGTCTATTAAACATTGAAACAATTACTCCTAGGGACTGAATTTTTTAAGAGATTTGTTAGATATCACTGGAAAAATGTTGTGCCCCCTGATAATGGGTACATTTTTCCAAATGCCCAAGTTACTTAGTAGCCTAAGTCCCCTTTTCAAAAATAGTTAATCAAATGGTCACAGCTCTTAAATGTACAAAATTCTTTTGAAAACTGCATAAAATAGCTGCAAACGAAATGCAGAAAAAAAAAGTTTTCCATTATCTTTACTAAATCTGTGCCATAAAGACCAGACAGACAATATCACTAAGTATAAGCTGGCACCACTAACATTATACACTGCTCATGCAGTTCCCCACCTTTGATATTCCTAACACCTAGACAACAGTTTTATTTCTTCTAGATTCCACATCACAGTTGTTTGCCCAGAGATTGACCACTGCTACATCCAAAATATCACTGTTTTACTTTCCCCACTACTCTTTTCTTAAAGGAACACAAAAATTAAAACCTTTATCCTACTGCATCATGGACAGGGTATGGCTTCACAGTGCCCTGCTCTGAAAGAGCAGAATTCTCTTGATGCTTCTCAGCACTCTCTCATTAATCTCTAGCACTTCTTACCTGTCAGCATCTGAGGCTCCTGGAAAGCCAAAGAACACACTTTACAAGCCCACTGGCTGGACTCTGCTTCTGCAGCTCCACTGCCTTCTGGAGTGTTCACTAAATCACAAGAAGAAATACTGAAAAGGTTTGAAAATGAGAAGGTGGTAAATCCCTGTAGCTTTGTTTATCTTGCAATAACTCCCTGGGTATCACAAGTTACAATTTAAGCAGTAAGAGGCCCACAGAGGCAGCTGGTACTACTTCAGAATTTTCCAAACAGGAACACTTGACACATCAGAACAGAAACTAAATTATGCCGGAAGAGAATATTAGTGCTCCTGTAAAGTCTTGAGGGTCCCTTTATCACTTTCTAAAGAACTGTGATTATCAAAGTTGCAATATAAAGCAATTTTCAGCACATTTAAAAGTGGGGTTACCAGTCCTATTCTGGGTCAGCTGAGGACAGAAGCAGAAGCCTCCTTGCTCTTTGTGAAGAGCATTGCAGAGTAAGAACATCTGGATTAGCAGAAGTAAGGGTGAGGACAACGAAAATCTGGTTTTGAGTGGTGTCATTAATTAAATGTTCTATGAAACCACCATATTCATATTTTAATTAGCATATCACCTCACACCAGAAAAAGAAAGTAAAGAAGAAATTAGGGGGAAAATGGAATGGAAAAAAAAAAAAGAAAAGAGGAAAATGGTTACTCTGTTCACAGTCCATTGCCTTTAAGTCCTTGGATGATATGTCTGAATTTGTCAAGAAGATCTGATAAATCTGGACTGGTTCAGAGATTTTTCTGTTACACACAAAACTGAATATTTCAGAGTCTACAAGACTTCCCCGGGAGGAGGAGGATGACACTGAAATTAGGTTAAGTGAATGGCAGCACAGAGATTCAAACTGTACCTCAGTTTCTGCCACAGATTTTCTGTATCATCGTTAGCAAGTCAATCTCTTTCTGCCTGAGGACCCCATCTGTAATGGGATGATAAACTTACTTCCTCCTTTCTACTGTTGGCTTGTAAACCAACATAAAAGATTATCTGAGGGGGAGGTTGTTCCCTGCTATAAATTATGTTCAATGTTCTGTACTACAGAGGTGTGATCTCACTCATGCTGTAATAAATAAATAAAAAATGACTAGACAATTCAGCAACAGAGACTCCTTCTTCACAGGCTACATCAAGAATTTCGTATCTTGAGAGCTCTGTTCAGGAGACCAAAACCAGCAAACCTAAAGATTCTGCATAACTTTAAAAGAAGTCAGACTGGTAAGACACATGTAAGCTACTGTATCTGTCTCATGTAGGCTAGTAAAACTGAAAAAGGACTATCTGCAAAACTGAAGTCAGTCTTGGAAAATTATCCCTGACTCTGCACTTCCCTTGCTCCTTAGCTGCCTCAAGCAGTAAACCTAGAAACCCTAGTTGTGCACTGGTTTGCCAGGAAGAGTCAGGTCCTGTTTATGTTCTCACTTCTTCAGGCCACCAGGGCAGCTGCAGGGCAAACCAGTTTACTTGGAAGCACAGATCTGTCAGTTCACAACTGCTTTGTATGACTTAAGGTAAACAGTCAGAATGAAAAAAAGAAGCATATTTTGTTTTGGAAACACTAGAACACTATAGCAGTGGGAACACTTTAGGCTTCCCAAAGTATAAAAGGCAGCATTTTGTTTCTATTGAAGCTGGACTTACAGACAGTAGGATGAAGGATGTAGGAGGGGCTATTCAAATTCTTCATAGTTTTTCCCCTCCCTGGAAAAAACAGTGATGCCAAACTGAAAGACAACTCCCCAGACTACTTCACATTTTAGCTGTGTGAGTATCCAAGTTAAATGAATGCATCTTCTGATGAATTTTCTGTGGACTTCAACAAATGTCCTCTTCTTATCAGAGATGGGGCTGGGGGTGGTGGTGGTGGGGAGGGAGGGTATTGGTTCATAATCAACTAGTTATTTCCTGAGCCATATGTTCTTTGCCAAGAATATCCGTATTGCTTATAAGTTTATCTAAATTTGAGTTCCTGTAATCTAGAACAGTCTGAACTCTAACAGGCTTCTGGTATTATTGTAATTTGGGGATGGCCAGTGTTCATGTCATTTCCAAACAGCACTGTTCTTACATACACTCACAGTCTCATGCCTTCTTTTAGAACATGATTATTTGAACGATTATACTTTGCACAGAGTCTGAAGATTTTCTTTACAATTGCCCCCACCCCAACACTAACCACCTCCAAAGTTAGAAACAGTTGTTTTCATGAAAATCATCTTCCTAAAGGTTTATTTGCACCTCTATCACTTTTTAACCTGCATATGTATTTTAAGCACCATGCTCATGAAAATAAAAACAAAAATCCAGACTTTCAAATCATTTCCAAATTAGTATTTGCTGAAAGTTATATAAGCATAACATCTGCACAGAAGTGGTACGCCTAACAGTTCTTCAGATTTGTTTCTGTCCTCTATCTCCCTTAAAAATACTGCAATTTTGCATACCTGCTGGATCAGTTGCTGGTATGTTGGATTTCTTTGTTTTTTTATGGGGTAAGACAGCAGATGAAGGTTTTGAAGGGATTTTATTGCCCTCTTTATTAGATTCCATCACTACCAAGCAATTATCTGTGGAGAGGAAAAACAGTTCCTTTACTTTCCAGACCCTTTGATTCTCCTGTTCTGTGCTGAGGGAAGTAACCAGTCAGAAAACTTTGCCTTGTAGCAGGCCTGCAAAAGCCATTCTCATGTAAGATGTCCTAACCAGGACATTCTTATGCCCAAATCTCATACAATGTGCCTTTCATATTCTGGAGTGTATAGTGAAAGTGCTGAACAGAGAAAGCAGAATGCACCTAAACAATATTTTAAAATAACCATATGCACACAAAAATAAATGAACAGGTTAAACTAAAGAGGAAAAAGATTAAGCCTCTCAGTGAATACCAACTGGAAACCTCTGAGAATTCAGAAACCTATTAACCACATTGATTCAGCTGTAGCACGTTAAGACTGTGCTTACCATCAAGATCAACCATAAACCATGTTGATGGCAACGGCCTCTCCCCAAGCCAATAATTGTCACCCCAAACTATACTCAGTGTAGTGGTAATACCATTCAGGGAGTACTCCCAACTCAGGAGCAGAAAGAAAATGCCCTTGCAGTGCTAAAGGATCATGACTTTTAGCTGTAGAAATGCAAAAGCAGAAGAAAACGAAGGTGCAGAGAAACAAAAAACTTCTGGCAATTCTAATTCAGATTCTAAAAAATCTGCTGCCTTTCTTTGCCAATGCACAAGCAAACATGTGGAATAGCAGTTCATTCCTGAACTTATCTTATTCTAGTGGGTCCCATGTAAGGTCACATAAAAGTTGTTTTTTAGAACTATTTAACAGTTCTGAGCAAAACCAAAACGTTTTCACTACCACTGAACATTTTCACTACAGCTTTAGCAAATCTGAATGTACGTTCAGACTTACACTGACACTTGGGTTCCTTTGCTGTCCTATCCAGAAATGTTTCTGATGCAACCAGCAGTTCTTTAGTTAAAAACTATTTATCCGGTTTGTTCACTCTGAGGAGGCTGAATCATCAACTAGGCCATCCATTTTCAAAAACTCAGTTGTATCATGGTGAAGAATCTATGCTTTTTCTTGTAGGGCAAGCATGTATGCAGGTCAGCTTGACTCTAAAGGCTAACAGGGTCAGAGCCTATTTCATAAAGAGCACTGTCAACTACAACAGTAGGGGACTATCAGTCCCTATCAGGACTGGGCCCTTAGTAAGGAAAAAAAGGCCCCCACACATACCATTGGCAATACTAGTGACCTGCTTCAGCATTGGCTTTTCCATTTTTTTGGCGTAAAAAGCTGCATACCACACTCGCAGCTCAGTTCCTGGTGGGATGTCCCGGGACGTGGTGAAGTAAATATCATTGTCATGCTGGAAGGCAGTTAAGTTTTGATGCTCATATTCAGTGGCTGGTCGCACCATCATCATCCAGTTGCAATCATCTTCATTTGAGGTATCAAAATATACCGAGGGCCCATCCTTCCGGAACACCTGCCAAGCAAAATATGCATATAATAAAACCCTAACAAATAATAGAAAGTTAAGAAGAATTTTTATTTTCTGCTTTTGCAATGGCTTCCATTCCATGAACATCAGAGACCAAGCAAGCCTCAACGCCTGCATCAGGCATGTTCCACATATCAGTCACATCCTCAGATGATTAAGTCTGAGACAGGCTACCAAAGGCAGGATGGGAACAAACTGAACTTCTATTCTAAGAATTCTTGCTATAGTCACCAGTTTCTCACAAAATTTGAATGACTGAATACAGGAGAATTGAGGGGAATCCAAATAGCATGCTGTGAAACACCCATCAGCCCGTCACACTTCTAAATCATTTACTTCTGAGTTAGGTATTACTGAAAACTAAGACTGAAATCAATTTTTACCATAGCATTTTTCCTACCAAAATGCCAGACAGAAAAAAAAATAAATTTGTATGTTCCATAAAACTAATGCATAAGTCACTCATTAAGCAAATACAATCGAATTGAAGAAACTCATTCAAACAACTGAAATGAACTGCCATAGCCATTGTACCTCGTATCACCACATGCAGAAGGTGAAAGATAATCAGTTTTGCTGACTGTATCCTAGCCCTGTCTCCTATGGGGATGTTCACTACAAACATGAAGAACGAGAGTCTAGTTTGGTTCTTCTGTAGTTTGCCCAGAGAATGTTTAGCTAGTCTGATATATGGCATGCCAAAAAGATGTGCCAAATAACCCCCTTACACACTTGTTTTTTTTCTCATAGCGTTAGATAGGATAAATTAATCACAGATAAAACTGACTCCTTGTTATTGCTTTTCATTTCCCTTGTCTTACCTTCAGGGGAAAAACGGATTCTTTTTCCAGCTTGGCAACTCTCTTGGATTCAAATGGGCCAAATTGGGTACGTTTCACTAGCTGAGTGAGAGCAAACACTCCTTCAGTCCCATCTTCCAATTGTCTTATCTCCAAATTAGAAGGCAGAGATGATCTAAATATGGAAGAGAGAATTGAGAAAAAAACCCACAGTTACACATAGGACAACACCACAGGAACCTGTAGAAGAAAAAAATCAGCATCTATTTTTCCAACCTCCAGTGACAGCTAAGTTTTCTGATCAAAACACCCTAACTTTGAGGATTTATAAACAGAGAACAACTACCAGCAGTGAAGGAGGGCCAAATCAGCGATTACTTGAGAGCGCTCAGCCCCTCTAAGTCCAGGGACCTGACAGGCTGCACCTGAGGGTGCTGACAGAGCAGTTCAATACCATAGTGAGACTATTCTCTACCATCCTGGAAAGATCATGGGCATCAGGGGATGATCCCAATGACCAAAGGAAGTCAGATGTTGCATCCGTCTTCAAAAGGCCAAAAGGATGACACAAGGAACTACAGGTCCGTTGACTTCACTTCAGACCCCGGGAAAATCACGGAACAAGACCTTTTAGGAGATATTTATGGGCACATGAGAAGGTGACTGGAAACAGTCACCATGAATTGATTAAGGGCAACTGATGCCTGACAAAATGTTTTCCTTCCAGTCTAAAATTACCAGGATTGTGGATGAGGGAAGAGCAGCGTACATAATTTCCACTGACTTAAGTAAGGCTTTCAACACTATCTCTGTATCCAAACTAGGATGTCATGGTCTGGATGAATACATTCAAGTCTTAAAGAATCACGGTCAATGGTTCTTTACACCTGGAGGCCACAACTGTGGCACTACAGAGGTCTGTGCTGGAACCTGCACTGTTTAACATCTTCATCGACAACCTAGAAGGGGCAATGGAGTGCACTCTCACCCAGTTTACAGATCACACTAACTGGGGGACACAGTCTATATGTCTGAGGGCAGGACTGCTATCCAGAGAGACCTGGATAGCCTGGAGAGATACACTGACAGGAACGACATGAAATTCCAAGGACAAATGCAAAATCCTGCACCTGGGAAGGAAGAACCCTAGTCAGTAACATCACTGGGGAGAAAGATGCTGGGGTCGTGGTGGGCAGCAAGCTGGACATGAGGCCACAGCATGTCCCAGCAGCAAAGGGGGTCAAACGCATGCTGGATGGTATGAACAGGAACAGCCAACTGATTGAGGCAAGTGACTGTGTCCCCCCCCTGCTTTGCACTTGCTAGATCCTGTCTATCTATTGCCTCCTGTTTTGGGCGTCCAGTATGGGAAAGACACTGACAAACTGGAGTGAGCTCAGGGGAGGAGCACCAGGATGGTCAAGGGCTAAAGCAGTCACCCTGTGAGGAGAATCTGGGGAGGCAGAGCCTGATCAGTCTGGAGAAGAGATGGCTGTGGGGTCCCAAAGAGCCACCTGTGTACACCTAGAAGGATGTCACTCAGATGGAGGAGTCAGGCTCTTCCCAGAGGCTCATGGCAAACGCAGAAGAGAAAATAAGCATAAAAATGAAAAATAAGCAGTCCAGCCTAGATGTTAGTTTTCACTGGAATATCCTGAGATCTATTCCAAAATGAATTATCCTATGACTCTACAAACCTTTAGTTATGATCATGCTTATTTTAAAAAATAACCTATATCCCTCCCCAAATTAAAACTTAAATACTTATGCAGATCATAGCCCTTAAGATGAAAGTCCTGGAAGTTTCCTTCCTGTCTTCTAGCTCCCTTATTACAAACATTGATACATTGATCACAAGTGCTTGTGTGCTCCCAGCCCCTCTCATTTACCAAACAAGCTTCTGAGAAGAACTATATGTAGTAAATATTGTTATTACATGAAATACACAGAGAAGGCCTTCCCAGAAAATCATACAACTGGAACCACCATATTGGTTTTACAGACACCAAATGCAACCCTTTTTTCACATGTATGCTAACAGATTAAAAGCTAAAAATAATCAGACAGGCTACTGACTACTCTATAGAAGCTGACGCTGGCAGATCCACTTTCCTGTCTAGATGAAGAGAAATACAAAAAGACTAAAATTACAGTGATAAGCAAATGAATTGCACAAATGCTTTCAGTTTTCATAACAGAATATGAAATGTTAGAGACAAAGAAGTTCAGAAGATCTTTCTTAACACTTCTTTTCTAACCATAAAGCATCCATTTTATCTTTTCAGTAGGACAGAGGAAACAACAATCAGGTGGTTAAGCACTAGACTGGTTTTTAAGAGATTCATATCCAGTTTGTGGTTAGACTTGCACTCAATCTCAGACAACTCACTCTCTCAGCTACTATTCCCCAGATGTAAAATAAAGGCTGCAATTATATTTCTTCTTTCCCTTTCTTATCTTGAATGCTTTCAATTGTAAATTCTTCAGGAAAATAAATATATTTTTCTGTAACATGGCCACTTAAAAACTCTGCTTTCAAATCCACTATCCAGCAGCCTACACTTCCACTAGGGAACACTTAGCATCTGCATGTCAAAAAAAAGGCTGAAAACCAGTGCATGCGCCATATTTGCAAACATATACAGTCGGAACATCTGGACTATGGTAATTCTCCACTGTACAAATAAATAAAAGCGTTAAATTGTGAGACAAAAAAAAGAAAAAAGAAAAAAGGCAAGAAATAATAGTTTAACTTGTCATCAAATCTGTTTAGTATGGGCTTACTGCACTGCCCAGTTCCCCTGTGTGAGGAAAGCATCTCTGTAACCAGTTTCTATTTAGAGGTTAGTGTCAGTTCTGTTAAGCCAGGAGCCCCCATTAACATTTGCTGCAGGGGATCATTCAGGCAGGTTTCCAGGTACAGGAAGGTGGTGCTTGGCAGGAGCTGCAGGGAGCTTCTTCCTGGGAAGGCCCAGAAAAATGGCTACAGCTCCTGCACACGTAAGGGCCAGTGTACACTGTGGGACACCAAGAGCATCCTGCCCAGGCAGAGAGGGGTCAGACCCAGTATGTTCAATATTTGTTACAAAGTTGATCCTGGGAATACACAGTACCACCTGCACAGCAAGCATGCCTCAGACTAGCTGCCCACATAACCATGTTTGCTGTCCATGACTTCCCAAGAAGAAATATGGAAGCCATAAGCACATTATATAATACATGAAGCCATTTGAACTCTCTTCCCTTTTTGGATTTCTACCACGTCTTCATGATAGTTGTTTCTTTCCCTTAGGCTTCCATTTTATACCTTAATACAAGTTTTGCTGACAATGCCTGATTGCCTTTCTCTGTAAAAATCACTACTCAGTGTTGTTTTCTCCTAACTAGATTTAGACTATTTATGTCTTTTGACAAGCACAAATGTTTCTGCTGTGCTGTCACAGATCTTCTGACAGAAGCATTATCCCTAATCATTCATAAAGACTCACAATGATGAGAACAACTTGGTTTGCTTCTCAGTGAAGGAACTACAGAGGTTATACCAAGCAGGAGGACACAACCATTCACATGAATGAGAAATCCTCACAGGTTTCTCTGAAACTAATACGGTACATCTGAGGGGAAAAGTTGCAGGTACCCGACCAAGACAGAAATCATCACCCCATATGGCACTATCTGACTTTTTGCCAGAAACCTCCACAAAAAAGCCAAGTTCTGATGAGCAGCAAGTTATTTTTTGGCTTCCATTCAGTAGAGCACTTAAGTGAGTGCATCAATTTTTCTATTTAATCAAAGCCATGTACTTTCTACAGATTGGGACTTCACTTCTCAGCTGTCAGCGTGACACCCATTAAACAGCAAATATGCTTTAAAGAACATGGGTGTTGGGCTAGTCAGAACTAACACAAACGTTCCTTACCTTGCTCTGCTCAGCACAAAGGAGTCTTTGACTGTCACCACTGGGCCTAGTTCAGGACACTCTGAATCATGGTACTGCCTACAGTCCTCGCACCCTGCAAGGAAGCAGACAGCATACAGGAAGGTTGACGAAAACACTTTTGTAAGATAGCTGCCTCTTCCTTTCAAGGACCAAATACAAAATCTAGCACCAGACAAAATACATACATATAGAGGCAGATGTTTATTTATGTTGCCTAAAAGAACATGCATAATTGAACATCAAGTTGATAGCTGGCACCTGTGTAGGTCAGGTAACACACACTGTGATCAGTACTATCAGAAAGACAATTGTTTAAACTCTCAAAGGAAAATAATTGCCTTATATCCACAGTAAATATTCTGCTTACAGATAGCATTATTCTTCAGATAAAGTGCCATAACATCTAGCAGCTACAGAAAACCACATCACTACCTTCAACAAAACCCAGGCTTAGGAACATATTGGGTAGTGTGGTCTTTTTAGTGACAGGAGGCATAAACCCAGTACCAGCAACAGAATGGGCACAGGGCCTCAGCAGGGCACGAGCACACTGTGGGAGCCCAGCTCCACCCAGAGCCACACCTAGCCTGCTCACACTTCTCACCCACGGTGCAGGGAGAGATACCTCCAAGATACCTGCTGGTACCTTTCCAAACAAGTCAGCTGACTGCACCGTATACTTTGGCCACTTCTTAACTCGCTGTCAGCTTACCCAAGCTAACTTTTAGTTTAAGTGGCTATATATTACCCAGAACTGAATGGTTCCTAAGAAACAATTTTCAGACCAGGATAATTAGAGGCTTTCTAAAATAAGCCAACTTAACAGGATTTCAAATGCATATACATTGCTTCACTGCGAAAACCAGCTGTCAAACTGCCCTGCCTGGTCAGCTGCTGATGCAGCTTAAGAAGTCATCACCTCACGGGGGTTATATTCCTATAGTGCAATTTCCATCTGTGCTCCATGCTCATGAGGGCGAGTCAGGTAACCTCAGTAAGGATGCAAAGCAGAGGGTGGTTACACCTTGTTTGGGAAGAGAACAAGATAAAAGTCATGTCATTGCAGGGTATACCTCCTCTGGTAAAGCTAGTCTGTACTCCTAACTGGAAACCTCTGCCTCCCAGTATTTGCCCCAGTGAACTAACGAAAGGATTTATTCTAAGAGGTGGAAAAAGGATTCCAAGCTACAATGCACAGCTCCATGCTGTTTCCTTTTCTGGCAACAAAAACAGCTTAGCAGTGAAAAATCCACATACATTTGACAAACGGCAGCACCAGCTCGTGCAACCCCCAAGCCTGGTCACTGCTTCCTTACAGCTGTTTGTGCTGCCTTCTGGTGAATCAGGGAATAAAACAACCAAATTTTCCCATCAGTTTATTTTTCAGCTGAACGAATTTCCCAGTCCAGTTTTTTGTACAGCACCAGATAGCTGTATCACAGGAAAAGACCAGTGGGCAGGTGCTATCCACACAGCATCAAAACTAAGCCTACAGCCAAATGGCCTCCCACAATCCTACACTGTTACCATACCCCCCCGCCTTAGGTGTGCCTGTAGCTCACACTGTGCTTTAACATTACTGAAATAATCTGAGCTAAATACAAATTTCCAAAACCAGAGAGGGTGAAGGAGCCACAGAGCAATGTGTAAACCAGACTGCTGAAAAGAACTGGATTATCATCCACAAAGGCTTGTCATAACCCAACAGGGACAGGAAGGCATAGCCAGAGCAACAGCTTCTTTAATGGGCTTTGCTGCCAAAGGAAACGAAGTACTTCATCATTACCCTTATCTTTCAACTGCACCTAGGCACTCCTCACTTCTGCAGAGATACCCACTGCATAGGTTCAACAAAGTCCAGACAGCATTGTCCGAATCTACCTACAGGAGTAAGCGACACATTTCTCACTCCTTTGTGGATGAATGATCAAAGCATGGGGAATGCAATACTGACATTGTGTGGCACACCTCACAAAATCTAAAGGATGCCTTACAGCAGACATTCCCTAAGGCTCTTACACTCACCATATGCGACACTTTCAAGAGATTACAGCCACAGGAGAAATACAAAACTAAACATGGGATAAACAGTAGAATACCCTGGGGGGAGTACATTCACAGACCCCTATAAAAAATATTCCAAAACTCTCTGATGTCTATGAAATATATATTCGTTGTTAACTATGAGAGTGCAGAGTATCATTTATATCAACTCACTTTTTCAGAACATAAGCAGTTCCCATTTCCCATGGGAAAAACTTACAGAGAACACAAGAAAGCTCAAGAAATTCCATGACCACAGCCTCCGCTGGAAGGGGGAAAATCGTGTTGTGTGACACCTATCTCTGCAATTAGAGAATGGTATCACATCCCCATCCTTGTTGCTATCCAACAGGGTTTTCTTACGAAGGGGAAGATAAGGTAACTTCACTACTGGTATCTGCAACTCAATAAAAATGCCTACTGAGTCAACACTACTTTTGAAGAAAATCTGGTGAATCTGTGATGGAGGGAAAAGTAGAACTTTCTGATATAGTTGCCATAAGGTTTATGCACAGCTGTGGAGCCATCAGGAATATGTGGTTTCATACCACCAAAGACATATGCTCCGTTCTGCTCTTCTCAGATTGGATCTACAATATCCAGGCCCTCTCTGCTCATACGAGTAGGCGAGTGAACTCCACATCTCTTAACTTTTTTCCACAGTAACACCAGATCCTGCATGTGCAGTCTGATGACAAAGGAGAGGCTGCGAGCTGTTATGTCACAAGGAAACAAGCCTACTAGCCAAGCTCCATCAAGCATGGGACACTGCCCATCATACTCCCTGGACACACCACCACTGCAGCCTCTCTTCACATACCATGACCCCATGAGTTCAGATCCCAGGTCATGGAGCCCAGTCTGACACACAGGGTTACATAGGAGGAAAACCACAAAGTCAAGCTGCGTGAAGCACAGGCCCAGCCACAGGGCCACAAGAAAACATGGTGAATGCCATGAGTGACATTTGTCAGGGCAGTCTGTGCATCTCAGACTGGGCTTGTCCAGAAAGAATAATGAACCTACAGATCTTCAACTCAGGCTAGAGGTCAGAGTTCCCCACAGACACCCCTGGTTGCTAAAACTGGCTGTATAAACAAAGAACTTGGACTAGTGATAGGCCTTCAATCTCACTTACTTCAACCATGAAAAAGCTGTTCCGCTAACTCATATTCAGAGGTCTCTCTGTGTGTTTGCCAACAAAACCAGGAGAACGTGTATGCTTAAAGTGAGCAACCTTCTCTCTACTCCTCCATAAACTGTCGGAGCTTCCTTTACATAAATATTTTTTTAAATAAAAACTTTGTCTGTTTTAGTCTTTAATTTCAAACATCCCAAGTAGACGAGTCACATCATGAAAGTTGTATCATTTCCCTTCTAATACTTACAAATAAACATAATCTCATCACTGCCATCTTCAGCCATTTTTTAAACCTGCCAAAATACAAAAGATGAAGTTAGTTCTGAATGACATTTACTTTTTGTATTACTGAAACATCCCTCTACAGAGTAATGATGCTGACTGACCCAGAGCACACCCAAACATGTTACTGCCCCTGCAGGAGTATCAATGGAAAGGTAAAGAAATTAAAGTTGCTAAAAATCCCCAAGTGACTGCTGTATCATTACATGTATTTTTGAAATAACTACCAAGAAGCCTAAATGTCTGTATGTTCTTAAGCATTTCTCTCTGAGGCAATGCTGTCTCGTGCCATTCCCCATCCCTCCTCTCGCCAACCTCCAGCCGTTCCTGGGTGTCCCCTGCTATAAGCTCCTGTGGAGCCTCAGAACAAGCAGGGCCAGAGGACTCATGCAAGCCAGCAACAACCACTGCAGAAACAAGGCCCACCTGGCTCAGGGAAGCATTTTATTGAACAGTAGGTTAAAAAATTATCTCTGAAGGGCAGTTTACTTATTTAATAAAGACAATAATCTTAGTAACCTAAAAATTGCAGATACAATCACAGATTTGTTCCAAAGGCAAAGGTATACTGTGGTAATGAGCATCAGAAAACCTGGGAAAACAAATCCTGTCTCTGTCACTGACCTTCCATGAAATGGTAACTCACCAATTTGCTTTCACCTGTAAAATAAGGAAAATCTATATTCACTTTTATAAATCAGTTCTAGCAATATGTATTAAAAACTTGCATAAACACTATTGCTCCTCAATGATGTCTGGACAATCGAAATTATGGCTGGCTAGTAGTCTGATTATGTATAGCTAAGATCAGGACACAAGCAGGATCTAGAAAATAGTTTTCCCTTATCTAACAATGAAAAGGCTTTCCTCTTCAAATAAGCAATTTTCCCAATGCCCCAGTAAGAGGCAAAGCAATGCGAAGATCACGACCCAAGTCTAAGAGAGAATGTGAGGTTGCAGAAACAGCAAGCACATTGGTCAAGATGACAACAGGAAGGAGTAAGATACTAAACCTGTGAAAGGGAGGAGGACAGGAGGAGAGGAAACATGACCAAAGACACACCAAGCTAGCAGAGCCCTGTTCAAAAAAATATAAAGAATTTGCTACTATAACGAAAGCTAAGCCAAAGGTACGCACAAGCAGAGCCGTTACTCAGATCAGTGTAGGAGCAGGACTTCCCATGAGGAGTTTACTCTTGAACACTGATGCTCATATCCTCTGCCTGTTTGGATCGTGGAAATATGCCTCAGGCAGGAGCCTGTACCAGCAGCTACTTCTGCGCAGGTACCAGCTCTACTGGCTTCTCAGCACAAGTGAAGTCTCCATTGCACACAACCCCTTCCACTGTTTCGGGGAGGGCTCCATCCTTGCGCCAAGTCTGTGACTAATGCCACGATGGCACCTCCACGTGCCAGGGAGCAATGTCCGATATGCAGCTGCCAGCTGCACCCATGCTCTGCTCTACCTCAAGCCTCCACCAGAAGCAGCAACCAGGTTTCTTCACCAATCCATAAGCTACTTCCAATTAGCAAAGGACAATCCATCGCCACTTGGAGATGTGCTGGGTGGAAAGCCAGCACGTCAACTGACAGGTATACAAAGGGACACCTGGTTGCTGTGGCTCCTGATCACGGCAGGAGGGATCCTGCTGCTCAGCTATCTAGGCAACAGCCTAGATTTTGGTCACTGAGACTGGGTGCCCTGGCATTCCCCCATGGCCTGTCCCAAGCACTGCCCTCCCCAACTCTACCTAATGTCAGCAGCACGTTTCCCCCTAACACCGGCCGCTGCAGCAAGGGGACAGCACTGCCCACCTGTGGCACAAGCTAGGCCTTTCTTGGCTACGGCTTTTGTGGACTAAACTCATATAATAAACCACTTAAACATTTATACAAAAGCCCAATACTGAGCACAAGCAGCAATTCAGGGAATTTCCTAAAACCTCTTTTCCTGAAAACACTCAACAATGCAACAGGTATTTAGAGAAACCTAGAGTACAACTATGCAAAACAAGCCACAAAAAGTGCATCATAGATTGATGACAAAAATGCTTTGTTTTTTTAACCCAGATGATTTGTGGATGCTCTGCACTATTTCAAGAGGTGTACATCCAGTTATTTTTAGTTTGTGTCCTGACAAGACTTCATATGGCTGAATTAACAAATACTGTTCTTGGTCAACGGTTCAGATATGCAGAGGGGGCAGTGCAGCAAGACCGGCAATACTGCTGTGTGACCCACTTGTCAAAGGCATTCGCCTTCTCGGATTTTCCCGTGTCGCATTCCTCACAAACAGCAGACTGATGACATGTGGCATTACAGAAGCAGCAACGTCAGTCTTGTTTTAGGGGCCACCAGACGAGAACAGCAACAAAAGGGAAGAGAAATCGTAATAGCATAAATGTGGCTCAAGGTGATGGGGAGAAAGCGTAAAGGTTCCTCTAACACACCTTGCATAGTTGATAAGGACACTACATCTCAATTATTATCTGCATTAGCACAGTTTTCATTTCTGCAGCAAGTGCTTTCATTTTCTACGTTGCAAAATTTCTGATTCATCATCCATCTTTCTTATGCTCAGCACAATGACCTGCTATGCTCTGTAATAAACAGGTTATTATTGCATAACAAACAAGCTCTCACCTCAACACGCAGGTCCAAAAGGACTACCTTGCATTAGTTTCTGCACCATGCTACAAGTTCCTGCGTGGTCTTTTTTTCTCCCTTTCTACTTTACAGAAAGTGTAAGAAAGGAAGAACTGCCCCAAAATGGATTTAAAAATTCCACCTTTGCAGACACATACTACCTTTTACCCACAGGCTTCAAAACTCCTCACAAATCTCAACCGTATTTCCCAAGAGTTTTTGAAAGAAACAGCATTATGCCACCTGCTCCAGCTGGTAAATGGAGTCAGGAAGTGCCACAATAGCTCACATGATGGCACTGAAGACAGACTTTAGAGTTTTTACCCTAACCTGCTGTTGCTCTGGGCCATGTCTGTTTTGGTTTTTTTTCCAAGCATTTGTATCAGAAAAATATTCCATTAAGTCACTCATCCTACTGCATATAATTATGTTCTTGTCTTGCAGAGATAATCAAAGCTTCTAGGAATTCCAGATATTTTTATATAAACCACAAAGCAATCATTAAGCAGTGAATAATCAGATGAAAAGCTATACAGAAAAAATGAGACCACAGGTACAATGCCTAACCCTGATAGTAGTGAAAGAGCAGAAAACTACAATTTTCTGCTTATATAACTAATGAAGTGACTTGGTGCACAAGAATAGAGGACACAGCTAAGCACACAAACTCCAGCTGCCACATGGGCCTCTTAACACTTCTGAAACTTAAGGGAACCCAAATGCTGACATCAAGGGGCTGCAGCATCACAGATATCTGCTTGCGGAGCAGGATGTGCAGCGCTAGTATCAGGGAACCACTCCAGCCATAAGCTATCAAAAAAAAAAAAGTAAGACCGGGTGTAAAAGCATACTTTCCCCTTATAAACAGCTTTTTGAAAAAAAGAAACGAGGCTCCAGTGGTAGGTTTGAGTAATTTTGATCTTGCAAATGGATTTAAAAAAACAGGTAAGAATTAAAAAATAAACCAAATCCCTGAAAATCTGTATTTGAATTTAATGACCAACGAAGTAAAATTAAAAGTTTCCCTTTCTTCAGTTTTCTGTTAAAGTTCTAGAGTGGGTTTCTACTCGTGTAAGTAACTTTAAAACACAAGTGGATGGGTACTGGAAATACACGTGTGCAAGCAGAATGCATTTAAAAATACCGAGTTTTCTTCATGTGTAGTCCAATTTGTTCATGCTACTGCTCAAAGTAATAGGAAACTATCTGGCAGAATATCTGGTAAACTATAGCAGGACCTTGCATTGTTTAAAAATGACCATTCTATCAGTTATTGCTGAAAAGGGAGAGGGGGGCAATTTCTGGACCAGTCAGGGGGAACACAGAGTAACAGAGTGGTGTTGAGTTTATGCCCCCTGCCCCTTCCAACGCTTCCCGCATGAGTGAATAACGTATATGCAAAGTGTAATGAGCTGAAAACGACCCTGTAGCAGGAAACGGGGCTTTCTTCCTTCTAGTCTCGTAAACCAAGACCTTCCCCCAGAGGCGCACACCGGCAGCCTCGGGGCAGGGCAGGGGCCGAGCCCCAGCCTGCGGGGCAGCCGCCGGTAGCGGCCGGTTCCCTCACTCGGTTACTAGACCGGCCTCCTCCTCCCGCCCTCTTCCCTCTGGATCACGCTTCACACCGGGGCGAGTCCGTGCCCCGGGGGGAGCACGACGCCAAGATGGGTGTTAGGGGGTAATTCCACAAGCTAGCATGCTACACAATGGAACTACAGCATATTTATCCTATTAGATGATTAGTAAAAACCTAAGTTTACTCTCATTGATCCATAATTACCATCTCATATATATATTTAAATTAGCCCCACTTGCTGTGAAAATTAGCACACAGGCTCCTTGTAGGTGGGGGGGGGGGCAAATTTTTTCAGTCTAGAGTCTGTGGTCACGATCTACCCCTGCCACCCTTTCCCCCAGTTTCCACAGATTCTTGCTGACTTCATACTTCCTGGGCAATCATCCAGCCTCTGGCACCTTCTGCGGCAGGATGCTCACCTATTATCTCCTCTTCAACGGTAAACTCATTAGCAAGGCTTGGATTGTAGCAGGCTCACACAATAAAGCCACAAAGTATGGGGTTTACACAATGGAGCCAGTGATTAGTGGTCCTTGTGCTTGATGAGAAACATCTGTATGGGCTACAAGCCTGGTTGAGGCTACCAAGTCCAGTGCTCCCAAATCTCATCAGCCCTGCGTAATCAGCATGTTATCAGGGGCTGCTGGGTCCTGCTGTGCTCCACAGCAGGGGGTATGGCCACACATGCTATTCAGGAATAACCAGCAATGCCCATTTTTTTAATATAATGACACCTGATGCCCAGGAAACAAAGGACATGGACCCACTGTCCTCAGCTCTAGGGGTTTTAAACCCCCAGTTCAGGTTACTGCAGTGCTCACCCCTCTCCCAGCTGAAAGGTGCACTGTGCAGCAAAGAATGTGTCTGCAGCAGCCAGGGCCAAGAAGTACCGATGCTTTTTGTATTCAAGCAAGATGCTTCCCACCCCCCCCACTTTTTCCTCTGGCAAGAAGTGTTTCCTGCACTGCAGTCCCCCCTAAAGCCTTATGCAGTGCTCCCTGCTGCTGTGGTGTGTGTGACCTGACAGTCTTCACAGTGAGAGTGCCCCTGCAGGTTCAAAGATGATGGAAGGAGGCACCAGCTCTGTCCTCTCCAGAGCATGTGCTCTTCTCAAGGCTACATCTTTTTAACAGTTGGCTAAGACCAGGCCCTTTCTTGCTTCCCACCTTACCCATCCCAAGTCCCCTTCTACACAAGTATCCAGTTTCAAGAGGGAAGTGCAGAGAGTATTGTGACTCTCTTCTTGTTAAGTGCTTGGGTAAACTGAAACAATGCAGCATTTGAATTTTGGTAAATTCTTGATAAGAGTGTTAATTTAGAGAGGAGGAACCATTTATTCTTCAAAAATGACTCATCAGAAGCTTTCAATGAGCACAGAAGCAGTAAAAGCAATTTTTCAAGGACCTGACTGCATGTCCATGTCATTTGCTTTTTCAGAGGCCAAAGCTGACTGGCCTTTAGTTTTGTATGGTCTGTTTTTACAGCTTTTCCCTGTACATTTCAGTGCATATTCACATTCACAATGCTGTCTCTGGGCCTATGCCTAGGTTTCTCCAGCATGAGTGTACAAGGGTGGTTATCCTACTTGCAGTGGATTCATTCTGTCAGAATAAGTATTAACTAATTGAGAACAGTTATCTGTATGTTTACTAGCTGAAGCAGTCTGGATTTACAATGCATGTGAGTCTGGATCCTGCAGTTCCAAAATGATTTTTTTTTTTTTTTTGGTCAGTATTTCTACCTCTGTGCAGAGTTAACATCGATGGTGAACTCGCATCTTACACCAGGCTTGCTGGGGTAGAGATGAAAATTCAAGATCCCTGCCATTCATTAAGAATGATGAACTGGAGGAAAGAGCAGGGTGCCAGACTTAACGCTACATCCATTCCTGCTCTTACTGATGGGTCTCGTCACTTTTGCTAGCATACAAAAATGGTACACACAAGTTATAAAACCTCACCCAAGACTATAGCAGCAAGGCGTAAGAAGGTATGTTGGGAGGCTATTAGGAAATTTCAGCTAAGCACTTCCAAGAATATTAAGTAAGTAGACAGAGAGATGTGGGCAGTAACCCCCAGTTAAGTTAACATACAATTTCCTTACAAAAAAAGGGTACGGCACTCACTTTGGGAAGGGAAATAAAAAGACTATCATGGTTATTTTCATGTGAATGCCTATTTTTGGTGGTGTTTTGTTTGTTTGGGTTTTTTTCCCCTCAAGTCTGGTAGGGCTTTGTGGCAGCATTAGTTCATAACATAACTTTTGCAGTAAAATCACAAGAGAACCTTATTCCCAGGCTGTGCTCATTTTATTGGTGTCTTCCACATAAGATCTAGGCCCTAACAGTCCTCCCCCTTTGCCCCTCAAATTATGAATGGTTTCAGGATAATGCAACATAACTGAGAGAAAAAATAACAAGCAACCACAATGGACTCCACAAATCCTTTGTCCATTAGATTCCCACTCAATCCATGTTTCAGGGGATTTCTCAAGGAACAAGAAAGGACAACCTGATATGGCCAGGTTTATCAGAAACAACCCACAGTGTCAGCACAATGTACACAGAGAACTCTGCTCCTGAATAAACAAGTAAATGGACTGTGTTAAGCAACAGGTCATATTAGTAACGGACAGTAGAAAGCCATCTGTTATGCTTGGCTGACTAGGTAGGTATGTAGGACAGCACACTACACAGAGACAATTGGCTTTTATTATATGTACAGCAGTAGTTAGTTCTTTAAAAAATCCTCAGGCTTTTTAGTGATATAATAAATCTGTACATCATAGACTTCTTAATTGCACCAACTTAATTTTGTGTACACACAGAAGAAAGAAAGAAAAAAAAAAAAAAACAACCCACCACAAAATAAGTGACTATCGCAGTTGAATTCTAAGAAAAAATGTTTTACCCTGCCTGGAATATCAGAGCATAATACATTATTGGGAAATACAGAGTTACAGTATTGGGAAGACCTCAGATCCATCCTTCCCAGCTATTTTAACATCATGCCAGCACCTTGCATAGTAACAGTTTGGATATCCTGAGTGAAATGATATTATTCACCCTTAACTTAATCACCCTTTTTATGTGGTTTAATCTTGAGTTGTTTGTCACCAAGGCTGTGGCTTAGCAATATACAGAAGCATATGCTGACTTTAAACACATGAATAAATCCACTTAGGTCCTGTGGAGGTCAAAGCATGGGGTCAGCTGTTCCCACTCACACTGGGAATGTCTTAGCCCGGAGCTACAGCATATTTAATTTTGTACCAGGATAAGCATTTATCTCAAACTTCAGCTCTACAATTCAAAAACTGCAATAAACTAAAATGGAAAAAGCCATGCGGCTCCCACCTTGTACAGAGCTCTTGCTCCTTGTAACACCTTGAGCTACCAGAGCTGAAAAATATGTTAAAACAAGAGTGAGATTCTTATTTTGCTTCCCCATGCACATTTGGTAGCATTTTATGTAGTCGATGTCACTTTTTCCTATGATACTTCGCATATCAAGAACACCAAAACTTTACAAGAAATACACAGCAGAAAGCTTTCACTTGAAAACCACCTAGAACCAGTGAGATGCAGTACCAGGAAATGCTGTAAAATTTCACCGATGCTCAAAACTGGTATCATTGCCAGGCAATTTAACACCTTGAAAAAAGCAGCGCTGTAAGCCAAGTCCTCTCAAGAGCAAGACAATAACTACAGGTCTATATGACCTGGAGCCCCAACCTCTCTCCCAAAAAAAGAGCAGGGGGAAAAGAAAATCTAACAGAAACCATAAGAATAAAGCCCAGTATTTATGCCCATACAGTTTATGACCTGTCCATTAAGTTGAAGTAGTTTGCCAAAGGTATTTTGCTTTTTAATATTAACTTTTTTCCATGAGGGCATTCCTTCTTCTTCCTGTCACCTAAGAGTCACAAGTTTCATACATAGTTAGGAGTGGAATGACTGTCATTTCTTCCTGGGGTGAACTGGATATGATGTACCAGTGATCTAGGGATAAAGGACCCCCTCCTCTTTAAAGCGACTTCTAAAGTGATCTCAGTCACTTTGAGAAAGTTACCTAGCTTGCATTCACATTTGAGATATTAGGTAGTTTTATTGCTTTAATCTACAAAGTAAAATTTAGTTCTCGTACTACTTACTTTGTCAAAATTCACACTAAAGCTGAGGCAAATCTTGGTTAGGTAAGGATGCACGTTGTCTCCATCAAGGCAAATGAAAAGCTAAAATACCATAAAGCAGAACAAACCACAAACACAGATTAAGAAGGTTCAATTACGGGCAGAAAATTTCTTTAGAAAGGAAAAGCAAGCCTTCATCTCTTAGTCCTCATAAAATAAAGATCTTGCCTTCTTTGCTGTACAGAACATCCAGAAACACGAAAGCATAAGAAAAGGGGCAAAAAGGAAGAAAGAATTCACAGGCTGCTTCCAAGCTATTGCTCTGAAGTAATTAAAGGCAGGAAACAAGAAGTTTTCAGGTAATACCACGCAAAGATTTGTTCTACTGTTCAAATGTGTACTTATTACAATTATGAAGATTGCAAAACGTAAAAGAGCAAAATTATTTCCTCCAGCATCCTTCATACAACTGCACAGGAAATATTCAGCACCTGGTAGGATACTTCACGGTGTTAGTTATGCTAGTTTACAAATCCAGTCCTCCTGACCCAAACCTCCTGCTGGTTGTCAGGACCCAACTCATGCTGACCTAAATACTAATACACAAAAAAGGTACATACTGAGATCTGATCTTAAATGACAATCTACATCACCCTGGAAGGGGGAATGGTATTCAATATTGTGGCCCCTTGGGGTTGTCATGACTGAGCAACTCAATTGTCCCTTTCTGTTTAGTACCTTAGCTTGTTTCTACAACAGGACATAAACTATTTGTAGAGGAGCAGGTGAGGAACACACCAGCCAGATACAGAGGTCAAACATCAAACCAAATTATGTTTATTTTCTTGAGGAGTGAAGGCAATTAAAAAACAAGATTCCCTTTTTACCCCAAATGCCTTACTTTCCTCATCTTAAGAAAACTTTCATACAGTTTGCAGTATAGGATGTTCTCGGTTCCCACCATCAAGACACATATTAACTAGGCAATCACCAAGACCTTAAGAAAGAAGAACCAAAAAAACACTTCTTCAGTGTGTATCTGTTCTTTGGGGTAAGTTGCAGGCAAACCCTACTCCTGTATTCTGCAAGTTATTCAGTGTTCTTTCCACCCCATTCTACAGTACACGATAAAGCTTCTGTAAATTAAAATCCCAGTTCAGTAATTTAAGTAGACTTCAAGTAGTGTTACATGGTCCCTTTACGTTCCCAATTCCACAGCTTTGAGTATAAGAGATGCTACCCATGAAGCTCAGTCTCACTTTAATTTCTTGAACACAGTGACCAGGTGTGGTTTTCTCCTTCAGCAAACAAGACTGAGCATTTAAAATATGGCAGGGATTTGACTCCCCACCCTGCCCCATCATACAAAGAGCTCCTAATGAGTCAAGGGAGAAAGTCTATGTTGAGAGAACATAACACCAGGTTTTTTAGTGCTCATACCATGAACCACTGTGGAACAAACAAATGAAGAAACCTAACTTCTACTTTGTACTAAGTTAACAACAAACAGAAGTGTTCAAGCACATTCAAGCTGGACAAAACTGCATTACTGAATTGGAATTTCTAAGCATGTTACAGCTCTAGAAGACTTATTTGTAACTAATTTTCAAAATACAGAATATTAAAATACCTTCAAGTGTTTTCATGATAATCAGTGTGCTGAAGTATACAACTATTTGATAGTCTGGACTGCTGTACTACCACAGTGATTTTAGGAGGTTACACATAAACAGTACTTTTAAAGAGTAGGCTGTTACCAGATTTAGACAGTTAATTTCTTCTAATATTTTCTTATTAAAAAAGAAATCACACCCCCCCCCTCTACTTTTATATTATTTGCAAAAGTATTTACTAAGGAATCTAGGGTTCATCAGAAGTTTTGAAATGTATTTCTCTTCTTCAGTGACTTTCTATTTTTGAAGAATGGTTTAAGTTGAAAACCCAAATAATCTGCCAGTGTTGGATGTCTTAGGGGGAGGAGGGGGGGGGGGGAAATCACTGTTGGCAAAAGCAGGTACAAATCTATCATTATTATTATGTAAGTAATTTTGATGGAATGGATGCTTCTCTTGTCTAAAGAGAACAGGCTTGGTCCTTTGTTCTCAGTAGGAATGTAGATGATGGAAAAGTACAGTTATGTGCAAAAGATGGTACCTGTGAAATACTGACTGACATTTTACTCTTCTTAATAGCCAAAACAAGAACTATGCCTTTCATCAGTTTTTCCTTTTCATTTAAAGGAGCCAGCTGCAATATTTAATGAGGAAACAAAGTTTAAAACCTCAACCAACCAACCACTTACCACATGACAACACTGGTAGATCTAGAAAGTGAAAAATGACTAAGGGAATTGTTGTTATTATTTTTAAAAAGCTCTCTTCACAACTGTGTTTTCTATGATCTCACTAAGTGTTTGGCAAGTAAAACAAGCTGTCTAATGAAAAGCATTATAGGGTTAAATATGATCTATTCATCACTTATTGCTCCTAGCTTTGCATTTGATATGATGGTTAATATACTTGTCTAACAAGTACTTGGGAGAAGGAATTAGAGCCCCTAAGACAGGTTTTTGCATTAGCAATGCAGCTTCTCACACAGGGAAGAAAAGCTACATAGGAGAATTTGTAAATGTCTTGTTTGTGAGTAGACTCAAGTAGACTTTAAAAAAAGTTCTGTTTTTTAAAGCATAATTTATGCACAGAACATTAAATAATAAGCTAGTATAAGTATTTGCATAATTTATTGATTTATGGCTAATATCAAAGGCATCTCTTCACCTACATGGACTGAGCAGTTATTACAGCAGGCTACAGTTATTACAGTAGGCTATCTTAATCAGCATTTTAGTTCTGCTTCTGAAAACTTACCCGTTTCCAAATTACAATACAAACTGGATCTGGGTCTCTCTTCCCTTTCAGCCTGACTAGAAAAACAAGTTGAGACTTGTGTTGCTACTATTCCAGGCTGCAGTTAGGAAGCACAGTGGTATCTTCTCTCTTTATAGTAGTTCAGTCATCTAGCAGGTATGATGTTTCAGTTCTTAGCTCCCCCTTAATGTAAACTAGGTGCTTACATGCAGGCCCTCCCTGCCTGCACCATTCCCCCATCGTCCCTCATCTTCTACATTAAACCACGTGGTCCTCCAAAAGTTGTCATGATACAAGTAGCACTGCTTGTATTTAGAGGAGCAACTTTATAATCAGAGAGAAAAAGTGTTCTGGAAAAATAAACAAAAAAGACAAGCTTTCTGACCACTGTACTCATGAACATACTTTTACGCAAGTCGTTAGCCGTATTTTGTTCTCTAGTACTGCTCTGTAAACAAATGGTCAAATGATGTGCAAGTATCCCATCAGAGAGCATTCAGTCTTACACGTATGGTTCTGCTGAAGCACCATTCAGTTTGTTCTTGCTTTTGTTTTTGGAAAGGAGCTTTCTGTTCAGAATACGTGATAGTGTGCCTCCCTTCTTGCGTGTTTCCTCTGACAGTGGCTGCTGCAGGTAGACAAGATCGTTGTGAGATTGACTCATTCCTGGATCCTTCTGATGATGTCGCCGGCGGAAAAAGAGCTTTGCACTTTTTTTCAAAATCCCACCTGCAGAAGAAAATAGCAGAGGTGCAGGACACTTTAGACAGAACAGGCTGCTTTCCTCTTGGAGTTCAGCTTTAACTGTAACTACAGCATGACTGAAAAAAGCCTTAGTCTTAACAATTCCAGTTAAGCATCACCCTGGTAACTATTCAAAAAATGTTAGAAAGCTAAGAGCATGGTGAATCTAAAGCAAGAATATTGATGGTTTGTATTCTAGAGGCCATCACAGTATGAGTTCCACCTTGGAACAAGTGATTTCGGATACTGGCAATCGCAAGCAATCGTCGTGCTTTCAGCCAGAGGCACACATACATACACTACATGCTACTGAATCCTCCTTGCCTCGATGTTGATCCAGCTCTCTCCTAGCTGACCACCACTGAGAAATTCAGACTCCATGGAAGTATGCATTTCTCCGCTTCTCCTCATTCCATGCAAGTATCATGCAAACTGAATCATGACAGACCGTGGTAGTCCTAGATATATGTGTATACACACACTTGTACAGTTAGCAGAAATGTTCAGGAGAGAAGAGCTCACATATGTCGCTAGAGAAGCGCTAAAGAAAAAAGGGATTTCCCTTCACTTCTTTCAGAAATTATGCTGTTGAAAAGGAAGGAGAGCTACTGTGAAACATGCCCATGAGCAATCAAATATTAATCCTCTGATTTCATCTTCTAAAGCCAATCCACACATCTTGTGGAAATCTCCTTCCTTACACTTTATTAGTTTGAAATGCTCTTCTGAAAGCTATGGTAGCAGTCAGACACAAACATGCACAGCGCTTGGTGTGGGTTGTACGCTGGGTTCTCACAGGTCAAACAGGCATATCCAATTTTTCCAATGTAATAAAAGTACAGAGTAAAACATATGTTTGTAAAACATATGAAATAGAGGAAGTAACGTTACTCTCTGCTGTTTCAGGTATCAAAGGAGCTGAAAAGAAAGGATTAGCCTGTGATACACAACATGAAGGTGGCATTTTAATTTGCGGTGAAGGACACTGTTGGTGCTGGAGAACAGTACCAGGCAGTCAACCTGCATGGAGTAGGCCCATACAAGCCAGACAGCACATGTTCTATACGAATTCGGTAGCACCACCTAGAGTAACAATTCACAAAGCATTTGCTATTTTAAAATCCTGTTAGGAACAGCAATTCACTTCAAGCAGATTAAAAATGATATTACATCTGCTCCCAACAGGTTCAGAAATTTGCTCAAATCCCTTCTGCGGTAGATTAAGTTGCTTTATTTTGTTGTATTCCTTCCCTTGATCCCATGTCAAAACTATTATACAGCCAAGACAATTGCAGCTGTCATCTCACCAGGGACTCAGGACTCATGTTGCCAACACCAGCCACCTGTGCTCTCTTTGCAAGCTTCGGTTGTTTTTGCAGCCACTGTTCTGCTAAATTCCACCTTCCCTTTCCCTGTGTACGTGTGCCTGATGTCTAAGGCAGCTTGGCTGCAGTTGGCAAGGACACTGCTCCAAGCTACCAGCAACACTCAGCCTGGTGTCAGTACATCAGCCCCATGTTAAAATAGAAACAGTTTTGTGCAGAACTGGGTAGTGGTGGCATCCAAGTGGCATAAGCCAATTTGAACGGAGGACCCAGGTACCAAGCCAACACAGGAGCCTTCTGGCAGTCAGACTAGTACGTGAGGACAGTCATCTCCCTTGCAAAGCTTCCACACCTCATCTCTACACCACTATCATATTTCCTGATTCTTCCTCAGTTCAGTCATTAATTCCTGTCACCACACAGTCTTGATTCTGCTTTTTCTCCCATTGCAAATGGATACAAAAAGCACTGCACAGACCAATCCTTTCATGTGATACTGTGCAATAGCTAGAATTACATGTTTGTCCCCCAAGAACTTGACACAGGCTGCGTGTCATTTTGTACAGTGACAGCTGCAGAATAGGTATTTCATGGCAGCTCTGTTGCACGCAGCCAGATGCTTCTTTGTTCAGACCAGAGCAGTTAGGAACATGTGCTTGGGTTTATTACTTCGTATTTTAAGGACTAAGCATGCAGCACCTTGGAAGATATTCTAGGATGTTCTGTCTTGCTGCTGCTGAGACTTTTCTCAGAATGCACAATGGGATGGAGCAGAAGTCAGCTGAAAGCAACTGGAACTCATGGATTTGAATCTTGACTGCTCTCCCATCAACCTCTGATTGATCTTTCTAGCAAGGCAGTACCACTTCTAGCTGTTGTCAACAGCATAAAAGAAATAGTGTTCAACCCCATGATACTGACAGCTGTTAATACACAAAGGCTAGGGGGAACTGATGAAGCCTCGCTGCTGTGCGGCTTTTGTTTTAGCAGTCAGCTGTTCTGCCCAGCAGTCTTGGCAGCTGCAGTTGAAGCTGTGCCATCAGAAGGAGTAGGACAGAAGGGTTTATCCGTAAGCAGCTATTTAGTCCTATCCATTCAGGCTGATTTCCCATACTAGGAAATAGAAGCAAATAAGAATGCTGTAAAAATTGTGCTGGTGGCCTGGGACAACTTGCTACAGCTGAAAAACAGCAGGCAGCACTTCCCCAAGAGCAGGACAGGCTCAGCACAAGCAGCAGCCCCCTGACATGAAAGCTCCCTGTGTTTCTGGAGGTACTGAGGTCATTGCTACCTGGAAGCTTGCCACATCCCACTGTGACCCATCAGCCTCTAGCCAGTTTGGTACGTGCTGCCTGACAGTGGCTCCAGCTGTTGTGGAGGCATGCACCCCTGCTAAGAAGGCAGGGTAGGGCAAGTCACAAGCTTGGCGATGCTCGTGCTATTTGCATGCTTACTTCTCAAGTTCAACAGGATCCATATGACAGCTCTGCCCCTAACACCAGGAGATAAGCAGAGAGCATGTGAAGAGTGCTGTACAGACTGACTGGTCATCATAGTCTCCTCTGCACTAGTTTAGAGTGTTCTGAAAAGGCTTTGGGGCTAGGATCACTTCTGAATCTCAATTTTGTCAATGAAGGAAGACTTCCTTCCACATTTACAAGGATACGGATAGAGATCTCTTCTTTCCATTCCTTCCCAACTTCCAAACCAGTTTTTATCCACGTGGTTTTGTAAGGACCTGCTGAGGTCTTGATAGCTCTACAAGGCTATAAAAAAGATCTAGAAAACTGTAAGCAGCAGGTTTTAAAATAATCTTTCTGCATATGCATATCCAGTTATGCCATCACACATGGTTTACACAAACAGATTTTGATTGATACTACAGGAATGGGAATGATGGAGAGAGATTAGAAATGTAGACCACCCCTCCAAGCCTTCCTTGCTGTCCATTCTGCATGATCCACCTGGACAGCACGACCACCAGAAGAATGATTTGTTAGAGCAGACCAGTCTGCTAAGACACCTGAGCATGGGAAGGTAATTTTGGGGGAAGGAAAGAAATGGATGGAGGAAGAAGAAAATTGGTGTCAAACTAGTTTTGCTTTAGTTTTTACAATGAGTGTATCACTGTAAAGCTATGCTTTCTTAAAAAAAAAAAAAAAAGACAAAAATAACTTACTGTGTAGGTAATTAATTCTGGTTAGGATAGTCCTCTTAAGTTTATAAAAGGGAATGGGTAAGGAAAAATAAGTCAGAAAGGTAAAAAACCAAAAATATGCAGGTTTTTTTTTAAAAAAACCTGCTAACTTTAAGACATTAACACAAGGCTTTTTAAAGCAGAAAGGGTTTTGTTTGCTTTGTTTGGGGTTTTTTATTGTTATGTTTGGTTTTGTGTTGGTGTTTTTTTTAAAGGGAAAGCATTTTACAGAACAGAAATCTTGAACTATTCAAAGCTAACTGAAGGCAGGGGGGTTTGAAATGTTTTCCTGTATCACTCCATAAAAGCTACTCAGCTGTGACCAAGTAGAGATTCAAGACTTCCACGAAGAGATCTGTGTATAAAGAAAGGGATTTGAGACAGTTTTTAAAAATATTTTTTCAAGATGAGGCAACTTTCTGAAATATTAGATATACTTTGTGCTTTTTAGCAGTCCTATACTACATCATGTAAACAGGATCTTTCGAAGCCTCATCTCTTTGCAACATACTGCACAAGGAAAAACAAAACTAGACAATCGCTCACATACAAACTTCCACTTGCTTGTTTTAGAATAACATGTTAAAGAAGAGTCTAGACGTTTTGCAGAATCTCATTCAGCTTCCTAAACTTTTCTAGGCTCCAAATGAAACAAGTCCCTTTAAAACTAACCCCCCCCCTTTCACAACTAACCTTCTACCCTCACCCCAAACATACCCAAAACTTTCCAGTGCCTGACAATCTATGTCAAATTGATTGTTGCTGTACCATCCTGATCTACCAGGTGGAGCAATACAGCTGTGAGAAGGCCCAAAACCTCGATGTTCTAAGGGAGAGCTTTGGCAAGGAGGGCCAGTGTATGCTTTATGTGGAGGGGGAGCGGTATGATAATCTGGTAATATACTGAGGTTTTGTAGTAAGCCCTTTTACAGTATCTCTGGGTAAGGAAAGATTATAAAATAATAAAGACAAAGAGGGATGAATACATGTGAGAAACAAACATTTTTGCTATTTTAACATGTAGCCCATGAGACTGATTTGCCACCTGTTCAGCGCTCAGTCCACTGCACTGGCTCTTGTGCCAGACTTCCTAACAGCTCCTGTGTTTACCACTTAGCCACAAATTAGTGCTACAACCTCAGAGGTTAATGGATTTATAAAGGAAACATGAAGAATCCTAAGACATTTTCAAACTGCAGCTATCCAGGTGTGTAACTACATAAGCAAAATAATCTGACTCCTTACTTATTAAATTACCTTTTATTCCATTTTCTTTAGCAAACTACATATTAATTAATTCAGTGAAAAGGGAGAAAACATTCACAAGACAGTTAAGAGAGAGTATACTTCTGTTTTAGCTGTGGTGCTTCCTGAACACATGCTTTAGTGAGGGCAGGGGAGTCTTGTGCTCAGAGATGTGAAGGAAGAGCAGGAACATATTAGAAAGCAGCTGTGGAACTCTGCCATTTTCACGTTAGTATTGGGGCTGCTAATACAGCACAAGTCCTTGTTTACAAGCACATGGTTTTCACTGAGGAACTGATCATGTGGCTACTTATTTCTCTCCCAGATAACTGAGTTGGGCTTAGTGAGCTGCCCTTCAACTTCTAAGGGTGAGCCCTTCTGTTTCTTGATGGAGGGGAGTGTAAGAGAGCCTGACTGGGCTCAGAGAGCCAGAGGACTGCACTCTTTCTGGCTGCTAGTAAGACAGCTCAACCAACACCACAGTCACAAGGAGTTTAAGGACAAAAATCAGTAAGAAAGGATGACCTACTACTGTGTTGCATGACACTGCAAGTTACATAGAAGTAGCAGTTATTCACTGAAGTGGAGGTAGGGATCACATACCTTTAGATTTTTTCATGCTCCCAGTTTCTGAAACACTTAATGAGCTCCCAGATATTTCTTCACAGGTCTGGTCTAAGAGCGTGTTGGTGTCCCACTGTTGGCTGCCGTTCTCCAAACCCCAAGCTTTATGGGCACTTTGCTGTGGGTCAGTATCAGGTAATATTTCTGAAGCACCTAATGATAGCTTTTCATCAGAGGTGACTTTTGCAACAGCTTCCTTCACAGTGGGTGGATCTACTTCTTTGCAGGAGCTGTCCATGGCTGCAGCATAGTCCATCATCAGTGCAGCTTCACTGTCCTGAGATAAAGAGGTCTGCCCAGTAAAAATAAGAGACAATGACACAAGCCACTCTGCTGGGAAAAAACCAAGCCTCTCTGCAAAAGGAGTTTCTTTTCTCTTCTTTACACTTTTACTTGTATTGCTCAGAGCTATCAGAAAGCCACTGTGAGGCTTCCTTAGCTCCACTAAAGGAAAGGAGCATACAGCCAGGTTTTAATAATGTTGTTAATGTCAAATGACTGGGAAAACCAAAATTAAGTACATGCCTCCTGCCTATCCCCAGACCCACTTCTAATAACTGGACTCTTTCCTGTATGTGCTGCTGTAACGAAGTATAAGCATGCAGAGACCATAATATTTTTGTCTTTTTAAGAAAATAAACATCAAAGTGTTTCATCTTGTAGAAGGATTTTTTTGGCATCTCTATCAGCTAAACACAAATCCATGCAGTCCCAGTGCCCCCATTTCCCAAACAGACACATCTATCACTGTGGTAGTTGATCCTTACCCCCTCCACCCCCCGCCTCAGCACAGTGATCGCGAGGGCATCCATGCCCACTGACTCAGCTTTCACTCAAAGGTCTTTAGGGATCCTTTGCATAACAGCGAGACTTGACAACAAATGTCCACACAGGAGCCTGCAGGAAAGAGCCTACAGGCAGGCACCAAGCACCAGATGGGAGACTGAGCTGTGGATGAAGAAAGTCTGAAGGAATGCTATACCAGGGAGAAACAGTCTTCTGTTTGCCCTCCCTCTGGAACACAGCCCAGAGGACTAGGAGGTTTTTCAGAGGGTTTTAACAACTTTGGAAAAAAATAGAAAAATCTTTCATACTTTTTCTGTGCATCTTCCCTCCATGGAGTAAACACAGAGAAGGACTAATTATTCTCTGTTCTCACCTAAACTGGTTTTCCCAAATCCCTGGTCACCCCACTCCCATCCAAGGATACCATGCATTTTTAGACAAACTGTCAAATCTAACAATCAAAACCCAACTCCCTCCTCAACAAACCTACTCTGATTTGGCTTAACTTGAAACAGTTATTGAAACAAACTGTCACAGAGACCTAGATACTTCAGAGACTGCTGAATGGGAGACAGCAGAATGCACGTTAAGTTAACGTCACACTCACTGGAGCACTTTACAGTACTAAGCATTAAATATAAGTGTTGTTTTCTGCTCTACCTTGGACACCCCTGATATGATAATGGTGCTCTTCTTTCTAGGAGACTTCAGCTTCTGCTTTGCAGACTCACTTAACTGCCGAATGGCTGCTTCTGCAACAGGATCGGTGCCATTCAGTACGAGCAGTTCTGAAAAGAAAGCATTATTTCAGAGGGAGAAAACAGACCAAAGAGAGTCAGAGTTTGTTTTTGACATAAAATTAAAAATTAGCAGAAATGGTATAAACACCAGGCATACCAAAACACCTTCCAATTCACCACCCAGCTATTCGGTCTTGTCTTCTACTTCTGTTGCCCATTCTTTTGAAAAAAAGGTACCTAAATTGCATTTTCAAACCCTTGTCCTGAGCACACAGGAGGTTTTGGAAGCCTAGACAAAACACTCAACTATTTCAGTGCACTGTGCTACACTTGAGGTGCCTATAATCTGAAAGCAGCAGGTAGAGCATCAGGTATCCCAGTCATGAAGAGCCATAGTTCTAAAGTGGTACAAAGCTGGCATGTGTCACTACTTCAGGTACCTATTTTACTCCAGTCATCCTTGCTTGACATTTCCAGATTTGCTATGGCACTATGATAGGATGGGGAAAGCAAAGTAGCAGTCACTCTGCTCTTTATCAGCTGCTTTCAAAGGCTGTAAAGTGCACCCCACTTTCCCCTCCAAACATCGCACAGGAATAAAAAACCTGCTTTATAAAAAGCTCTTTAATGACAAACACATTTATTTTTAAGCATGGCCATTTCTGGCATCTAGTATGCAAGTACTTTGGGCACAGCAGATACACAGTAATCAAATTATTCAAGGAAAAAACAAGGCTAAGAAAGTTAATGAAATGAACCCCCCATATTTAAATATCTGAGGTGGGGTTTTCTATTCGAAAGAGTTTTAACAACAAAAGAATACAGGCAGGAATAGCACCAGTGTTAATTAATCCGAGCGGTGCCTTTTGTTACTGTGACATTAATGCAATAAAAGATGAGGCTTGAATAATTATGCTGCACCAAGTATCTCAGATACTTTTGGAACTTAAGAGTATGTGTGCACAAAGGGTATGCATGCCCACACATGTCTGCACATGTGTTATAAACCATCTCCCTAGCCACTGCAAAGCCCCCAGGAACAGCTGAGAACACCCAGGACAGCATCAGTGGCACTTGCTAATTCTTACTGTTGTCATCATTTAGAACTATGGCACAGCATTGCATCTTTTCCATAGTGCTCGTTACTGTTTTGGCATGATGTTTGTAATAACTACTACCTAAGTTACTGTCATTTCTTTCACTTGGCTTAAACTTTTGTTCTAATGAGTAATTCTTCCTGCTGTATTGTACAAACATTTCACAGAAATTCCCCTGCACTTCCATGAAAACACTGTCCATATCAGTGTGCTCAAAGCTGTTCTCAGATGAGTTTTCCAGTAAGTGCTTTGTATCTTCAATATCATAAACAGTTATGAGAGTTAACTCAGAAGTCTAGCACTATCTTAACATTTCCCAAATTGGCTTAGTAATACCATCCTGCTTCATGGTATCAGAGTACTACTTAGTCTAGACATAGGGAAAGAATCAAGTGCTATTGGTTCATGTTCTTCCCCAGATTTCTGTCTTTTGGCCAATATATTTCTCTTTCTCAAGAAGCTTTCTGACGGTTTCCAGGAGCAGTCTAGATCATTTCCAGATAGTCCCATCTACACTCAAAGCTGCACAAAGAAAACTGGACTCCACATCATGTGCTGTCTGCAGCTAGACTAGGTCACATCTTTCATTACTGTTCAATACAGAGCTACAGAAAGATTGAATGGTGACCACACACAGGACTGAAAAATACGCCGAGTTGCAACTCGAAAAGGTAAAATGCTCCAGAGACAAAATCAGCTTTAATACAGTCAAAGTGAAATTATAATTAAAGTTATTATCAGTGCCACCTGACACTCTGAAGGCACTTCAGCTGTATGCCAGGTGACTCAGGAAGGTGGAAAACCAGGAACAGCAAGATTAGGTATTTGCACTAGCACAAAAAAGCCCAGCAGCAGGGCTAGGAAAATAATTTGTTCTTCCTTACATCAGTCCAGGCTCATGCCTTCTGTTCAGACAGGGGGGACTTCACAATGGCCTTAAAGAGATAAATTTCACAGGGTTTTCATTTCGTGCAGTGTCCCCCATGCCTTTGTAAAGGAGGAATCTTTTATTTAAAAATCAGAGAAAGGATATCCCGGCTTTTCTGCAGTCACCTCCCCTCTCTGAACAACAGCTCATTGTTATTTATTCAAAATTAGTAATTTAAGTCACCAATTAAAACCAGACTTCTATTGCAAGCCTGCTATGTCTGTAACCACAGTACTTGCTAACATAAACATCTCAGTGCCTGTTGAAAGGCAGTAGCCATATGGGTTTGTTGTTAGTTTAACAGGATTACATTAATCCCATGTGCAGGCAGACACAGATGTATTCTCATTAGCAGCTTTGAACATTTCTATTACCTGTATCTGAAGATGATAAAGTTTTGCTGACTGGAGCACCATGAGAATGGATAGCTTGAACAGAGAAATCCTTTTCAATCACCTTTACTTTGACTGGAGTTTTCACAGGAGAATCTGAGGAGCAAGGTTTTTTTGTTATTCAAACTATTCAAGACATTTATTATGAAAATAACAAGAATTTATTATACCAATGTTAAAGCCTGTTCAAATCATAAGCATTTGAGAAAGCTGTTTAACTCAAATTCTCAACATATGCTCTCTATGGTAACCTGACCCCAAAAGATCTGTGAAGTGTAGGAATTTATTGTTGTTAAACATTTTACTGTAATATGCTAGACAACACCCACTTAACTAAAACATCTGCTTTAGCAGCTTAAAAGAATGCAGCTCTTGGTGAAACTTCACACAAAGACTGTTTAGAGTGGCTGGAAAGTTGCCAATCAGAGAGAGACCTGGGGGTGTTGATTGACAGCCGGCTGAACAGGAGCCAGCAGTGTGCCCAGGTGGCCAAGAAGGCCAATGGCATCCTGGCTTGTGTCAGCAATAGCGTGGCCAGCGGGGACAGGGAAGGGATCTTACCCCTGTACTCGGCACTGGTGAGGCCGCACCTCGATTCCTGTGTTCAGTTTTGGGCCTCTCACTACAAAAAGGACATTGAATGACTTGAGTGTGTCCAGAGAAGGGCAACGGAGCTGGTGAGGGGTCTGGAGCACAGGTTGTACGAGGAGCAGCTGAGGGAACTGGGGGTGTTTAGTCTGGAGAAGAGGAGGCTGAGGGGAGACCTCATCGCCCTCTACAGCTACCCGAAAGGAGGGTGCAGAGAGCTGGGGATGATTCTCTTTAACCAAGTGATAAGCAATAGGACAAGAGGGAATGGCCTCAAGTTGCACCAGGGAAGGTTTAGAATAGGTATCAGGAAGCATTTCTTTCCAGAAGGGGTTGTTAGGTGTTGGAATGGGCTGCCCAGGGAGGTGGTGGAGTCCCCATCCCTGGAGGTGTTTAAGAGTTGGGTCGACATAGCGCTGAGGGATCTGGTGTAGTTGGGAACTGTCAGTGTGAGGTTAATGGTTGGACTGGATGATCTTCAAGGTCTTTTCCAACCTAGTTCATTCTGCGATTCTGTGAGGTTTTTTAATACTTATCCCAAGAAGAATCAAAAAGTCTACTCCTGGGAAGTACACTGGGAAAAAACTTTGTTAGAAGATGACACCAATCCTTATTAGAGATTATAATACAGACCAAAGCACAGGATGGCCTGTCATCGCAAACGCTCTTAAGTGTCTGATAGTTTTGTCATGTGGAAAACTATCCATCAAAACCAAGCTCTTCTGCATCATCACTCTACCATGCAGCTTTAAAGTGTGTATTAAAAGGAGCATTAACCACTCCCTTTGTAAGAGCAAGACTTCATGAAAATTAAAAACCTGATTATGAAGAATATAAACAATTCCCCCCACCATCAACACATCAGAGAAGTCCGGACAACAGCACCTTTTCTTACATTCCCACTCCCCCCACTACTTCTGTTCCTCACAGGTAATGCCAAGAGTGAACACAGAAAGAAGTGGACTTCCTCACCTGTGGTCAGTGGAGATGATCTCCCTTCTAGACGAGGTTTGGTTTTCACAGCAGTTACAGTAGTGACCACAGTCCCACAGGGCATCACAGTGCGATCCTTTTCTACCTTAGTGGCGGGCACTGGAGAAGAGACTTGCCATGTCTTTAATTCACTGGGTTCTATAAAAGAGAACTAGGAGGACAAAAAAATGTCACAGTCAAGTGAGAAGGACACTAACATTTCTAGCTAGTACTCCTTTAGCATTTTCACTAAGGTTCAGGAGCCAAACCACTAATACTTTTAATGATAACTGTGAAGTGTTACCATACAATCTGGATGCACTACTCTAACTTGGCCACAAATAGCACTGTGCTGCAAGTGACAGTCCAAAGCACAGGATGAATATTCACAAGTACTTCCTGAAGTGAAAGATCCACTGTAAAACCATCCAAATGCAGTAGTACCTCTGCACTAATGGATCCCAGCCTGGGCCCTGGCTCTGGGCTGCTCTCACTGGCCCTGCTGTTCAGTGCAAAGCTTTGCTGGCCAGAAGGTTGTTTCCTGAACAAGTCTAGAGGTACAGTTGCTTTTGCAGACAATGGACCTAGAAGAAATAAAACCAACAAAATCAGCGCACATCTGAGCTGTCAGTAAGTTTAAGGGTGAGAAGATGGAAAAGGAGGAGGTACACAGACAGCTAACTGCAAGAACTGGTTCTACACCATGGGGCAGAAACACGGCAGTTTTCACATCTTGCTTTCCATTTTATAAGCGTGCCTCAGCCTGGCCTAATACCGTTTTAACAGGGAAGAACAGAGACATGATACTTATTTGACACTATTTCTAGCCATTTTTTTTCCTGTATATGCAGCATGCTTAAGAAAATATCTACAAATATTACTATTAGGTTCTTGAACAATCACTACAATCAGTTACCTGCATCTTTCATTGCAGAGAATGCTCTGAATTCTCGGTAAACTGGTATAGCATTAACAATAGTCTTTCTTAATTTGAACTTCCGTGCAAGTTCAGCAGTTCTTTTTTTCCTCCCCTTACTTTAGTGACTACACTAGACTGGAGCAAACTATTAACTACTGCATGATTTCAGAGATTAATTCCTACTTTTCTGTGAAATTCAAAGACAAGTAGAGATCTACATTACATTCACATTACCCAGCTCTCTCCTCACCAATATGATTCTACTTTGAGTTTTCTATTCAAATCTTGGAGAAGAACAGCTAAGACAGTTGGGGGGGGGGG